TCATTTCTAGGGTGGCAGCTGGGTATCTACCGGAGTCGAAGCTTCACGATTCGCCCGTTTTTGGTTTCGCCGCCATTTCTTTCAGCATCTTGGTTTTCGATTGGCTCAGTCAGTTTCTAACAGTCCTCCTGTGCGTCTGGTAGGAACCCCTGTTTTTGTGCTGGAAGTTGGGGTGGAAGGTAAGCAGAAGGGTAGCACTAGGGGAGGGGTAAGTGAGTACTCTTAAACTATAGAGTGCCCTTGACAGGACTAAACCCGATCTATACAGTTAAATAAAAACCTTTGAATGCAAAGATCCACTCAACACCCAAGTAAAACCGATCGGTTCCTTCTTGCCAGATCTCCAACGTAGAGATGCTAGGGCCAGACGTCACTTGGAAGTGGAAATTAAAACCAAACTAAATGCAAGGCTGGCAATACGGCAAAGGGCTGATTCATTTGGGGCCAATATTTCGGCTGACAAAATTAACCTTCCTCAGGGCCAGAGCTTCACTGAAGAAAAGGCCATAATGCCGTACATATTGCCAGCCTTGGATTCAGTTTTGTTTTTGCAGTTTAATCCAGCTATAAGTATGGTTACTCTCAAGGATTAGTTTCTAAAGAAACTTTTTTGTTTCGTCCCTGAGAGAATGAATGAGGTTTTTGTTGTCTAATTCTTTGACAAGCGCTTGATCGTCTTTACAGTGGGTTTTCTACCTTAGCAACTTATAGGTGTGCCAAGTCTCTTCCATGCGTGAGATGCCAGTCCATTCCATGGTTAGCAAAATTCAGCGATGCTGTCTTTGTGATATATTCAGTTATTTGCACATTAACACTGCCAAAAGTGGTTGCTATAAAAAGCTGTTTGGTCCTAGTTATGCTTCAAAACCGAACCAAACTAACGTTATTTAGCGAGGAGGACGTTCAGCAAACTCTCCATTTGGGAAAGTCGCGAGAAGTTACGCGCAAGTGGCACACGAAAGGAGAAGCGAAAGTGAGGGGCTCTCTTTTCCCCCACCCCTCACAGCTTTGCCGTTCGTTCGCGCGTTTTCTCGCGGCCCGTTTCGCTCGCAGAAAATGGAGAGCTTGCTCGCAGGCTAGAAACTTGACAGTGGCTCTCTAAGTGACCCCAACTAAGTGGTCACTTTCAGATATCGACTTTTGATTTGGACGTGTCGAGTTTTGTTGGAAGGGGAAACCGTAGCACTCGGAGAAAAACCTCTTGGAGTGGCGAGAACCATTCTCGTCCCCAGAGCCCGTCGTTTCTTGGTCACGTGGTTAGGAAACGAGGGGCTCTGGAAGCAGCCGTTACCGGATGTCAGAAAATTTCTGACATCCGGTCGCGCATGTGCAAAAGTTACAAATATCACTGCTCATGCTCATAACGGATTTTTGTCCCTCACCGCTCCACTGGGGGAAAAATGTTACTTCCCGAGCTCTCTCCAGAGAGTGTCTTCTTTGGGGTGTTTTGAAAATGCATCACTTTACTCAACTTGGATTCACTGATAATTTGGAGTTAAAAGAAGAAGACAGCAACAGAAACCGGCTGAACACACTGTTGGTTTGCAGAACTGAGACAATTAATCGGCAGACTATCGTCTGAGTTATGTGAGTTTTCTTTTTTCAATCCGTTTGGCGAACAAACACTGGGAAAGCAATATCGCGAAGGATCGATATAGTGCGGGAAAAAGTCAATCTGAAAAGGTATCTTGTTCCATGTCCTGCAACTGCTCTCTTACTGACTTCAAAACGCTTTTTGAAACGAAACCATTCATGAGTTGTGTTAGGAAGGTAAAATATAATTTTCATTTCACTCGAGCTGGTTGTGTTTTTTCCAATGTTTATTTCCTTTTGTGGTGTCGCATGTCGGGGTTTTAATTTTGCCCATGAGCTTTTGTGGACACCACGTGTTAGACAACCCAAGGATTTACGTCGAAACAAATTAATATTAATCATGTTACCGACCCAGGGTAGAAAACATATATTACAAGGTTTGTCCAGGAGAAGTGACAGTCTAATACACCTTCATGGGCCGGGCTTCCATGCATGGCAACTTTATACAGTACTGGGTGAATCAAATTCCAGTTCAGTTCTCTCAGTATATTAACCCTAACCGAAACTTGAACCCCAGTTTCCTAACCCTAATCATAAAACTTCTGGGTCATTTGGTGTTTATGGGGGCCATTCAGTGTTCTGCTAAAAGGGTTTATCCTCCTAAAGATTTCGGGTATCATCTCCTAACTAAGTACCTCAGAGAGAGAGTTTTCAATAATTTTGCTGTCTGACTCAGAAAATCATTAATACCTGAAAAATGTTGGTTGTGTAGTGACCAATCACCATAAAGTTCCGGACACATGACCAAATCTCAAAACCAAAAAGTAATTGCCATTGCTGTTTGAGGTTTTGTTTTCTCACCCCTTGTTAGCTTTTTCTTTGCAACACAATAGCATTCCTTAATATTTGTGGTGTTCATGGTTTTGTAACTTTCACAGTATAGGTGAGCTCTTGTCACCTCTGTTGCAGGGGTATAAAACAGTTATATGTACTGTTGATTACCGGTTACTGACAAAAAGTGTTTCCTAGGACCCTGATTTAGTAGAAAGTGATGGTAATTAAGCAAATGCATCCAGAGAGAAACCTGTTTAACTACCACTTATGAGCTCATGGGTTACACATCTTTGTAAGGGGTTTTAAGGGTTTTTTTCTTACGAGAGGGCTTACAACCAGGGGGACATTTTTTCTTGTTCACTGGTAAATAGGCCTATAACTGGGGGGCTTATAAGTTGGGGGAGGCTTAAAAGCAGTAGTTTAAGGTAGCCTGTGCCAGACATTCAGGTATTGGGGAAGGTGCAAAGAGAACAAAACTAAAAAAAACCTGCTTTTTTTAATGCTCTACTTCTCACTATCTGAATGCCTAGAACGGGTTACCATAAGCTATATAGCTGTACTTTCTTATCTGGAACAGTGGAATCTACGTAGAGTGATATATGCATTGTATATAGATTGTATGCTTTAAGAGATCCCCCGTTAAGAAGTACACTTTGAGTAATACACAACCCAAAAGCATTTTCTTGGGTAGTTGCTCTCATCAAGTTTTGAGACTGGAGTGCAAGACCTGCAAGGTTTGAAATTGGGGATAGAACTTTGGATCAGGCCTGAAATAGGATAGTGAAAATCACATGGTTTGGTCAAAATTTGGCAAGGCAAGAAGCATACTGCAGGGTGAATCTGAACTGATTTTTGGGGGGTAGAGCCCCACCCTCCTCAGTTGTATTGAAACTGAATGTGGTGCTTTATAGAGTTAAAGTAGAATATCTGCTCACAGGTTTTGATAATGTATAATTTTTTAGTTCCCTTAAAATTCATTATTTTGTGTTATAACACGAGGCCTCCAACAAGGAAAAAGTTTTACCAGAACTGAATCATTGACCAGTGGAAGCAAGTTTTAATTTGGCTCATCATTATTTGTCAATAACCAAGTAAACTAAGATGCTCTATGCTTAAGTAAGCCAACGCTGTGTGCAAGCTCAAGGAGGGGTGGAGAGCAGGTGTGGTTAGGATTGGCGAGTAAACTATGATATTGCTGTTGATTAAGCTATAATGTTACCCACCCTATCAAAGGTGACATACTGCAAAATCCAGTTGTCATCATCAACAATTACTTACCCCAGTATGATACAAAATAGACTACTCTAGGCTGTTGTTCATTTATCATTTTATTTATCAACACCTCAGTTGTCCCTAACATCGTCAAAAAATCTAGACCAGTTTTCACAAAATGTATGGCTAATTATAAACAGTTAAGAGGCTGTCCGCGTAAGAACCGATAAGGCAAATTTCGGTCTATCACGGATTGCCCTGATTTTTTCAGTGGAAGATAACTATCCTATCACATGAAGAAATATCACATTTATTTGGACCAACTCAATTTTTTCTCTATTTTACAGGAAGATTTTCTCGGTCACCTAAAACTAGCCAGTTTGCCGTCGGAAGTGGTGCGATATTGCTGAAACTTTAGGGCTCTGTCAAACCTACCTTACATAGCCGAATAAGCTGATTATTTTACACACAAAAGTTTTAACTCTGATCAATAGTTTCAAGGTTTAATGGTTGCATTCTGTGGAAAGTTGGCTGGGATATGATTTTTTTAAAATGACCTTTAACTTGCTCAGCAGGAAAAGTAATTTGCATAACTAGAGCTGAACGGTAATTTCGCAAAAGTGGCACCTGACCCAGACTCAAGTCTATGATAAATCAGAAGTACTAAGACCAGTCTACTTCTTAATGCAATAAAATTTGTGGGTACTCTTCTTTGCGTGCCGTGCAAAGTTCCGTTAATGTTCCAAAATTCGCCATTTTGATAGCAAAGCTGGAATTGTAACGGGTCCGCATCTGATCGACTAATTTCCACAGCTTTAACGTTTCTAGATATCACTAAATGTCATTAGACCCTTTAAATGTTGGACGTTTGAAAACATGTGGAGAAAACTTAGTAATCGCTTTTCCTTGGGTCTTTTTCTTGTCGACGATGAACGTGACTTCGTTCTCCGTATGCAAATTAGCCTTAGATGCGTTGTTTCAACAAATTGACAGGAAATATAATCCTTGCATTTCACATTTCTAAGGGGAAAAATAACTCTCCTTTCCACAGAAAAACACAAACCATGACTTAGAATCCCTTAAGGCCTGCTTTTTTTAACGAGGAAGAAGCAGCTGAATAATATATCATGATATATGTTTGCGTGGCTTAAAATAATTCAATTACTGTGGTCTGTCACGCATTCCTAAAGAGGGGTGGTCGATTAGAAAACAATAGCGTTGTGTCCATCAATTCTATAATATTATCATCTTTTTTTTTTTTTAAATGATAGTTATTGATAATAATAAAAAATAAGAGTTCACTTGCAAGGTAAGTCCTCTTGTCAGCACACGAAAATTTTTGGGCACTCTTTTTGCGTGCCTTAAAAAAATAGCGTTAACGTCGAAAGCTTTATTATGATATTTGCTTATCAGGAGAAGGCAGATCTTTGTACATGGCACTAAGATAAAAAAAAATGCCCCACACGTTTTCTATCTTAAATTAGCAGTAAATTTCAGTTTCATTCAAAGATCTTTAAAGCGTTTATCGGCAGCAGAATGAAACGGGAAAAATAGTTCCTTTTTCAGTGAATAAACGCAAAAGGGAGTATCTTTTTAGTTTTTGTTAGGGTATAACATCCGAATTCCAACGATGATCTTGTTTTGGTTTCAATGTGATTGAATTATAATGCAACAGGTTCCAGTTTCAAATATAATTATGTCAATGAAATCGCGAAAGAGATCAATTGTGAAAAATGGCTTTTTCGGCCATTTCATCAAGCAGTTCTTCCGCGAGATCGTAGACAGAGTGAGGTCCCAGTAGGGGTGTGGAGGAATATCATTTATGCACTCTGTGACCAACACATATTACGTCGCACTTAGCCAGCTGTCACTTGTCTAAGTGTAGCAAGTGTAGCAAAGACAATGAAAATGAGCTCATTTTAGCGAGAGTACGTATTCGAGGCTTGGTGGGTATTCGGAACTGAAATGTCAATCTGCCCAAGGCACAGACACTAAATAGACCCGCCTCCCCTCAGGCTAACACTAAAATGACAATCTGCCCAAGGCACCGAACACCTACTTGGCAGGTTTTTGCGAGCGCCAAGGTCTTGTTAGGCTCGATTATAAGCCGCTGTTCTGGAAAATGAGCCCCCAACGGACGGGGAGACGGCGGAAATCGAGCCTAAGGTCTTGTCAATAACCCGGTCACACTCTGGATCATACTGGCAAAATAACTTCTGTGGCAGGAAGACATGTCGTAAATTTGCAGATAGCCAGCGAAATAAGTCAAAGTTTTGTTCCATCGCGTAAGTATCATTCTTTTTTCTTCGTCGTGCAAAAAAGTCTCTTAACGTACAGAGATATTCTAATTTCTCTATTTCACATTTCATCTTGCGATGTTTTCTGAAGTTCGTTTCCAGTTTATTTGAGCTTGCAAAGATAGTTTTTATTTCTATTTTTTGACAGCAGTGTATCTTGCCCTAATCAATTCTTACCTTTAAAATGCTATACATACCGGTTAATCCGTGTGTTGTAAAAGATAGTTTTCTGATGATTGTTTGAAGAGCATTATAAATGGAAAAAAAAGAACTTTCTACACGGAGCCAGGATCCAACCTCGTCCCCATGGCTTTCCCGCCCATGCCATTTTCTAAGAAGAATGTCCTGGGGACGAGGCTAGGAGTGATTGTGGTCGACGTGTCGTATAGCCGATTTGCTCCTCCTGTCGCAAGAAACTTGAAAAATCTTGCGCCGAAGGGTCGAGAAGAGTACGATTGAACAGTCAGCAACCATGTCCACACATTTGCCGGAGAGGATTATTGGACAAGATTTCTCTGTTTTTTTTGTTTTGATATCGTTTTCATTAAGTCTTCAAAAATGCCTCCAGATTGCTGTTTTTTTTGTTTTTGTTTTTTTTTGTATTTATACCCTCTTGACCAATGTGCTCCATCTCATCTCTCCATTTTTAACCTACCTTACCATCCACCCTCTCTCCCCACTGTTCCACCTCTACTTTTACAAGCATTTGTACTTAAGGGGGTGAAATTTCTCCCGTGTATATTAATTTCTGAAAAATTAAGTCCTTCTACTTTTTCCTTAAATTCTTAAACTTAGTTCATTTTTCTTTAAGAACCGCCAAAGATGCTGCTAAGGCTGCAATAAGCGCACTCGCCCTTTCATATACTTCATCTAGTGAAATGCCCACCTTTCTTATACCTGAATCCTGAAAAAGATACTCCTTTGGGGCGGAACCTCCCCGTATAAGCCATCATAGGGAGTTCCCCCCACCCCTGTTCCAATTCCGTGCTCACCTATTGCCAGCCCATGTTGGACTCTAGGCCCGTTTGAGTCAACACGTAAACATAGTCCTAGGTGTATACAAGTTGAACTTGACCATAGAGATCTGTTGCAAGAAGACGAGGAGTTCGAAAGGCAAAAGCTTATTGCCGAAATCGCTGAAGAATTGAGACCACAACACCCTCAACCAGAAGCTTTCAACCTATGTGTATGTCAAAGGAAGAACAACCTAGTCAGTTCAACGTGGTAATGCTAAAAAAATCTTGTGTCACTTTAAAATACCATTCAAATCCAGGGAAAGAAAGGGAGACCTAATTGACAAACTTTCGTCTTTCATACAAGATTGCAAGTGCTTTTCTCCATCAGCTCAGGAGTGAACATAGGGATCCTTAATTTAGTGTGATTAACAGCCGGCAAAAACTTTTGGGATTTAACAGGAGACGGAAAGTCAATTTTCTGCATGCCATTCCTCATTTTTACTGAAATGTTGTTAATTGGCGATAAACACAATGCTCTGTTAATACCACCCTAAGGTTTGTAGGGTAGCCTATAGTTAGCTAGGGATTTAGGAAATCTGTATGCTGCTTTAAGGACTTTGCAGGCGTGGTCCTGTGGTGTCGCACGGTATTTCTAAAGTTGTTTGCGAGCTATTTCCAAAATATTAATAGTTAATTCTGTAATTGAAAATATTGTGCTAGTGCTCGTGAATGAGAGTGGCCGTGTCCAAGTGACTACTTTGTAGCTAATTGTCGTGTATTACACCATGGGCTGTCATATTAAACCCCATCCTCACGGTGGCGCCCGGGGATACTGACTCAGTTAAAACGGTCGTAGAATGAATAAATACAACAGCACGGTATTTCCCACCCAGTAAAGAATCGGAATTAACATTGATTAAATTGTATGATTATCAATAACTATCACTTCAAAAAAAATATAATCAGATAAAAGAACTGATCGATACACGGCCACTCTCGGGGAATGCGTGACGGGCCACAGCAATTAAATTATTTTAATTCGCGTAAACATGTCTTCTTCTACTGCTTCGTCCTCGTAAAAGAAACAGACCTAAGGGGATTCTAAGTCATATATCGTTCGTGTTTTTCCGTGGAAAGAAGAGATATTTTTCCCTTAAAAATGTGAAATATAAGCAGTTATGTTTCCTGTCAATTTGTTGAAACGACGCATCTAAGGCTAATTTGCATACGGAGAATGAAATCGCGTTCTGATCGTCGACAAGGAAAAAAAAAAAATCAAGAAAAAGCGATTACCAAGTTTTCTCCTCATGTTTTCAAAAGTCCAACATTTAAAGGGTCTAATGACATTCGGTGATAACTAGAAACGTTAAAACTGTGGAAATTAGTCGATCAAATGGGGACCGTTACAATTCCAGCTTTGCTGTCAAAATGGCGAATTTTGTAACATTAACGGAACTTTGTACAGCGCGCAGAGAAGAGTGCCCACAAATTTTATTGCATTAAGAAGTAGACTGGTCTTAGTACTTTGATTTATCATAGACTTGAGTCTGGGTCAGGTGCCACTTTTATGAAATTACCGTTCAGCTCTAGTTATGCAAATTACTTTTCCTGCTGAGCAAATTAAAGGTCATTTTAAAAAATCATATCTCAGCCAACCTTCCACAGAATGCTACCATTAAACTTTGACACTGTTAATCAGAGTTAAAACTTTTGTGTGTAAAATAATCAGCTTATTCGGCTATGTAAGGTAGGTTTGACAGAGCCCTAAAGTTTCAGCAATATCGCACCACTTCTGACGTTAAACGGGCCAGTTTTTGGTGACCGAGAAAATCTTCCTGTAAGATAGAGAAAAAATTGAGTTGGTCCAAACAAATGTGATATTTCTTCATTTTATAGGATAGTTATCTTCCACTGAAAAAATCAGGACAATCTGTGATACACCGAAATTTGCCTTATCGGTTCTTACGCGGACAGCCTCTTAAGTTTTCTTGTATTTTGGAATTCTTAAGCCAAAAAGGTTGAGAACATTGTGCTACCTTATGTAGTGATCAGATAACACAAATATTTATCAAGAAAAATTTTGCAAAAGCTGCTTCTTTGTTAACTGTTCATCAGTTATAAATAACCCCAGAGCCCCTTGTTTATCTTTGTCTAAATGCCACACGACTGGAGGCCAAGCAAGGACTGTTAGGATGAGGATATCTTCTTGCAAAACATTTGTAACAAGTCGGCCACATAGCCTTTCCTTTCACAGCCCAATTCTTACTGTTAAATTAAAAATTAAAAGAAGGCCTCCGAATTATCTAAGCATGATTTAAGCATTAATTAAGTGGAAGAAAACGTAGTTTGGAAAGAGTACTTGCTCTATCTTCTTTACACAATTAAAAAATTGCCTTTTGCATGCAGCCCAAAATGATTCATAAGCAATTCAGTTCTGGCTTTGTGCACTGTCATCAGTGGTCTAATGAAATAAAGGCATATAACAAAATATTATCTTGACGTTAGTATAGCAAAGGAGATGCTCTTTCAGCAGAAAATATAATAAATTAAAAGCACACTGCAATATCGTTTCCGTAATGTAGTCGAAACTTGATTTCCTTTCCTACTGTAGCACCGACGAATATCCAGAGGAATTAGAAAAACTGATTAGACTAATTAATAGCGCCATACAAGTACAGTATCAATCGCTTGATTTTTTAACGAGCAAGGAGCAACAGCAAGAGCTAACTAACCATTACTCCTCCCTTTAGTTTCCCACAACGAAGGCAATGCAATACTTTCTTTGTCAAGGCTCGTTATCTTCGTAGAAACTTCTCAAACTTTACCTGCAATTCTCTTCTTCTCTGCTACTGCATATAAACAAACCAGGATTGTCGCTATCGACGAAACTCAGACACGCATTTCATGTTTGCAGGCACGAAGTAGAATGCTATGCGCAGTAGATTATATTTTTAATTTGCTTTGCGCATTCAATTGCTTTCAGCCAATGAAAAAATTCGTATTTTCCGTTGCGTCCAGAGACTGGTCGGTTACAAATTAAGCCGAGTGACTCTGGGGACGAGAATGGGCGAGAACTAACAACAAACCTAACCCATGTTTAAAACCCATGTATGGTGTCGACGCCTGGCCTCTACCCCAGTCCACATTGATGGGTGGTGAGTGCTCTTTCCTCTGCGCCATCCCTGCTCTCCCCTCCCCTCCCCCAAAAAAGCACTTGTAATATATATATATATATATATATATATTTTTACAGAGAACCCTATCAGTTTGCCCGGCATCGGCGACAGCGAGGTATACGTCAGCACTTCAAACATGCAGTACTATGATGACGCCGAGGATTTTCTGTACTCTGAAGTGTTGTCTAACTATGGAGACCTGCTGGTGAGTTTCAGTAGCCTTGCAGCTCTTCAAAACCTCTAATTTATTTGGGTCCCTCTATGTCACAACTCATTTAATTTCTGGCTAGGTTACATTGTAAACTTTGTTTGTTCATAGTTTTCCTAACCAATCCCGTGAAGTCTTCCGACGGCTGCAACGTCGCCTGTGGGTTTGAACTCTTTCATTTTTCCCCCTGAAAATAGCCTTCTACTTGTGACCAGTAATAATATTTGCCAGGTTCTCCGATAGAAGGGACGCCGTGCAAACATGTCAAGCGAAAATAGGACGCGTGGGATCTGGGGAAGGGGGCGGTTGCGCCTCCTCTTTCCCCAGTCCCCGGGTGTTTTTCGCATCAGTTTTAACGATCTCTGCACATTACTTTCTTGGAGCCTGGAACAGGCTCCTCTAGATCGGTGAAGGAGTGGAGAAATGAAGGGAGAGGCCATGATCGCAGGCTAAGTTGGCCATGCATCTCGCCATTTCGGGCCCTTAACCTCGTTATATTGTCACATAAGGTCACCCTGACACTTAATTCTGTCGCAAAGTGTTTTGGTTTCAATACCATCATGCTAGTCACGCCAGTAAAGCTTAGTCCGCTTCAATTGACTATCTAATACTAGTCACGCCAATTGGTTGCATGTGATGAAAGTCACAGCAATTCGTAATACATTGTAACGTTAAGTCACTATTCCAGCTTTTCTGGACTCTTCAGCACTTGGTTTCGCTACATTTACCACTTTAATTTCGCTGTCGTGATTTGTTGCTTGTAAATCTCCTGGATTAAGTGCAGTGACCGGAAGTTGATCTCATTATTTTTGCATATCGTTAACAGGGTGTTGAAAGTGATGCCGATTGCCGTGAGCAGCTTGCTGAGATTTGCAAAGAAGCCATTCACAAACACAATGGCTGCCCCGCGAAGAAGGCCCTTGACATTATGTGCTCTGTGGGTCGATTCTCCTACGAGCTGAGCAAGAGCTTGAACAAGGTAACCACAAAGTCATTGTTCGTTTCACACTTCTTTTCGATTAGTTGAATCCTCTCAAAGATTTAGATGTTCTACTTGACAAGACAGTCTTTGATTCTGGATTTAAAGCCTTGGATTCCGGATCCCAGGTACTGGGTCTCAGTCTTTATAAGTGAAATTTGGATTCTGGATTCCAATCGTTAGTGGCATTCCGGAATCCAGAGCCCAGGATTCCGGATTCCACAAGCAAATTTTTCGCCAATTCCATAATTCGGATTCCCTTACATGGTGCGATACTTGTCGTAGTAGAGCAAGCGACGGCGGTGAAGTTGAGGGCTTTGTTACATGCTCAACGGCGCAACCTACTTGCAATTCCGTCGGAAAACAAGTTTTGCACATTCTGAAACTTTTTCCCTCAACTCTCGTTGTTAGCTGACAATTCCACAGATAGCAGGGCGTAGTATTCGTGTTTCGCAATGGCATCTCACGCAAGTTTTAGAACGGTTTCAGCGTGCAACCGATAATACTACTTAATTTCTTCTATTTCTGGTGATGCCTGACCAGTTGACTGGGAGGAGTTGAGTGGGGGAGAATTCAGTTCCGGTCAATTAACAGTGAATGAATGAGGCTGAATATCTTATGAAGAATTATGGAGATCGAGGCGGGTGTTATTCTTCGAGGCCGTAGGCCGAGGCGGATAACACCCTCCGAGATCTCCATAATTCTTCATATGATACGAAAGCCGAATTCAATAACTGTTTTATTATTCATTCAAAATAATTCCTAGTTTAAAAACATAGCTAAAACATGCTTACCTCCATCGATCCATCGATGTTCAGTTCATCTTCGATAGTGTACGTTTAGGTTTGTCCAGTTCCGCAAATATTCTCCAAATAGCAGATGTCGCCCTTCGAGTTGTCTTCTTGCTGTTCTTGCCATGTTTTTACCTATTTTTGCGCCTAGTTCTTACTCTTGAAACGAGTGAAATGTCCGCCATTTTTTCAAGTTCACAACCAAAACAACTCAACCTCGTGCCCAGGTCTTCTCGGTTAACGGTGCCTTAACCTGCGAAAACGCTGCATTTTTGACGTCATTTCCTCGTTAAAGTCAAAATTCTTCCAAATTTGGTCATCAGTAACTGGTTATGGTGAATTAAACGTGTGCTTTTAGCCAATCAGAATCGGGGAAATATTTTGAATGAATAATAACACGTTTTAACGAAATAGATGCACAGAAATTGCCGGGTGCTATCCAGGTTAAATCAAATCGTACGTCGAACTAATGAACTTAAATCGAGTAGTGTTTGTGTAGCGTGAAGTTGAAGGTTGACGCGTGTCTTAGCAGAGACTTTTAGATTCAAAGACAAGGACGAGATTTTCTCAGTACTGAGTATTGCGCGCGCGTGAACCAGCGTCATTTTGGCGGGAAAAGGTGATAGTGGGCGTCGTCATTCTACTACGAATTTTAGCGAGAATGTCATAGTGACGGAAACAAGTTATCAAGTGTTAGAAGTTTTATTATTCTGCGATCAGAAAGGGCTTAACCTCCTTCAATAAAAATAACCGTGTTAACGTTTCTGGTTAAAAAAAGAAAAAATGTAGCTTTCTGGGGTGTCGATTTTTTAGAATAAGTTAACAAAACTTTAAGTCAAATCTCGTCTCTACTTCCAAATTTTTCTCGACACTTCTGTGAGGGTCCTTAAGAGGTTTTTCGGGATTCGGGATTTAAAAGCAATTTTTTTTGGGGGGAGGGGTGGGTGAGGGTTAGGGTTAGGTAATTTGGGGGACGGAGTGAGGGTGGGATTCAGGATTGAAAGTGAGCACGGGTTGCAGGATGCCTAAATTTATAACCATCGGTATAACGGGATTGAAGAAGACAATTTGGGTCCGGGATGAAGGGATTGAAGACCCTATTGCGACCCTCTTCTATCTCTGTGACAGGTGATCGCTATCGACCACAGTGGACGTTTGCTGGACGCTGCTATGAAGATTCAGCAGGGAAAATCGCTAGAGATCAAGGGCGCTAGAGATTTACCTTTCGTGAATATTCCGCTTGACAAGATCAAGGGTAATGTTGATCGAGTGCAGTTTCGGCAGGTTTGTCTAATGGTGATGTTTAAAATGGTCTCTTACGCAGCCATTTTTGTGTCGTCACGTAACACACCTGAGGAGCGTTGCGTGACGACACAATGAACGGGGACTTATTTTTGAACTGTATTGTTAAAACGAATTGTTTGACATCGCCACAAAAATTGATGTTTAAAGTTTAACAGCTGGATGTTCACACTGCTATTTGGAATTCTAAGGAGGATTGTTAATGAAATGTGTCAATGTAGCCTTCGCTTCATAGTGAAGCATTTAATCCATGGCAGACATGAAGAAATAGAATGACAAAATGCACGAAATATTTGCCAAACAAATTTCTGGTTTGTCTGGCTAATATTTTGATCTGCCAGAAATCAGTGCCCTTTATAAAAGAAAAAATATAATATATTGTAGCCCTTACTTTTCGCCAGACCTCCCCTCGTCTCGCGCTTCGCGCGAAATGCCGCGTACACCTCGCTCTGCTCATAAAGCTCTCGTTATGCAGGCTATCAGAACCTTGCAAAGAAACGCCTCGCGTGTTCCGAAAATAGAAGCTGTTTCTTGTGAAGTTTTTTTTATTTCCCTTTTGTTATTTGCTTTTGCAGTTTACCTGGCTGCCAAATGAGATTGGTGTTTATGATTTGATCGTTATGTTAAGTCTTCAACGTCTGTCGAATCCTAAAGGTAAGAAGTTTTGGGTCATTATACGTTTCCGGGGAAACTATCCACCTACCCCTCCCCCAACCCAACATGAACACTTAAGGCAAAATGTTGGCTAAGGGGAGGGGACACAGTTCAGTTCCCCGAAATGCTGAAAACATTCTTTGAAAAGATTCTCTCTCGGGAACCAAATGTAACCTTTTTTCCTTTCCGAGGTAAATTTTGTTCGTTGTTGATGACATTGTTGTCTTTGTTCCATGACCTAAAAAGTCGATTCAGAAGAACATCTTGTTCTTCATTAACTAAATTACTTTTTGTATTGTCTTGTTTTCGCTTCAAAGCAAATATTTTTCACTACAAAAAAACTTTTGATATCTCCATTTGTAGGTCTAATTATCAATATTTTACTTGCGTTTTCTCTCTTTTTAGCATGGTTGGTGCGCCTGTGGGAAATAATGAACTCTGGAGGCATACTTATAATCAAGACCAATGTATCTTGGGACCTGGAATCTCTGCGAGCTGTGTTGAGAACTAAGTAAGTATGATGAAATCTGGCAACTTCTGTACTTCTCTTCTCTTTACTCTAATTTACCGCGCGAGACTGGATCAGCACTTTGCTAAATTGCACCATGGGACTGTTTTGGAGACGTAATCGCTTCGTTGTTTGGCTATTACGAGGTTGCGCCGAAAACTAGGTCAAAAAGCGTCCCCCAAAACAGTCCAATAATACAGTTCGAATCAACCTCGGCCCAGTTGCACGAGCCAATAGGTTATTTGCACGATGACGTCATTTTACTACTACGACCAGAATCCTTCAGGGTTTTTCTCTCTTGTGCAAATTAAGGCTTTTATTATTTAAACCTCGCTTGGATTACCAAATTTTAATATGAAAGAAAAGCGAAAAGGATTCTGGTCGTAGTAGTAAAGTGACGCCATCATGCAAATGGCCTCTTCACGCAGGGAACTGTTCACAACTTTGCGTGCGTTTAATAAACACTATATTTTGAGTCCCTTTTTTAACGTACAAAGCTGTCTTGAAATTGAAGAAAAACCTCAGAATAATGTGTTCAGTTAAAATTAGGAAGATGCCTTAAAGTGTATTTTAAACTGTAGAGAAATATGAATGGTTTAGTATGGGAGTGATAAACGTGGATTGCAAACGGCAAATTTGAAAGGTGGCCGAAACCGTGGCGAAATTCCCTGCCCTTTGCCACTTCCAACTCTTCCGAAGTCGTAACTTTAAATCTCGCATTTGAGTGAATATTCGCGCGCGTCCAGGACGCTGACCTAAAATCTTTTTAGCCTTTGTTTATTCTATATCCTATCAAATGTCTCATTTCATCCTTGTCCTCCTTCTTTTAAGGTTCGAACTCTTGGAAACCCGTTTGGTCTCCAGCAAAAGAGAGGGACTGGGCAAGTCTGATATGTGTCACTCAAGTGTCACTATCTGGCGTTTAATGCATTAAATCAGCTTCCAAGGTGAACCATTGTGAGGGATAAATGCTCTAAAAGGGTCAAACGATTTCTTTCTTTAGCAATATTACAAAAAAAAAGGCGTAAACTGAACTCCGAAAACGAAAACCTGCAGCTTTGACCCAAACTCATGCTCTGTTCTCTTCGAAAATGGTAGGGGCAAGAAAAAGCCCTCGGCACTAGATTGAACATGACCAGGATGTAGCTTTGGCTGTGCGCATTCTCTGTAGCAACCTACAACACAATTAACAAATGCGTAGTTGAAACATTACTGTTAAACTGGGGCTTTGGCTTTCGTTAGTACTCCAAGAGTGTCAACTTATAGCTTTGCTCTATAGTACTCGAAGCAAAGGGAACAACACATTTTTAAGATCCATCGACAAAAACTGAATCTCATCACCCGACAATTTTCATGACCTGACATCATTTCCTCCATGGCTCACCATACCCGCCCTTGTGTCGCTAATATTTAGCATTTTTCTATCGTTAATTTTTTTTAAGCCGATATAAACCTCTAGGGACAAGTAATTGTACCGCTATTATAGACAGCATCCTAGTGCTTTTAGCCTAAAACTAGATTTATAAGTCGTATAACCTAGAGACGACGTAAATATAATCAATATAATATAAAAAAGTAATCAATTTAGATACAATAGGTAGTGTAGTTAGTTCAATGCTGTTTATTATCATGTAGTCGCTAAAAGTGCTCATGTAATCACCTAAAATTAGGATCGTACAGTTTGCGATGTATTTGTGACTCGTAAGATGAAGCGTGATGTCGCAATCAATAAAATATCATTGACTGAATACATAAGCAGTGTACCTCAGATTCCAAGAAAATCCCCAGACTTCATTTTTACCAAAAAGTGAACAATGCAACCGACAAAATTTCTATTTCTGGGTGTTACCTGATGTTGCGGAAGCCATTGTTGGTTAGCAGTTGTTTTGTGGTGGCGGTCACTCGGGTATCGTTCATTTTCGTTTCAGTCTTTAGCACATGGTTGCCACAGGTCAGGAAATGTTCAGGGAAAATAAATTTTCTTCAAGGTCAGGGAAGACTCGGGGAATTCCACTCCGAGTCAGGGAAAATTGAAGTCAGGAAGAGTGAAATTTTAAGAGTACATTTGTACATTTTACTGACATGAATGGTGGTGTATTGGTAGAATATTTTTCATGAAAGTGAAGAATATGCTGATGTTGGGTTTTGAAAGAAATGAACCCTGTCAGCCCATTATTAAGGAACCTTTTAATTCACTTACACTGCACGTGACTTGTTGAAAGCATAAATAAATGGGTGGGGGAGAGCTGTGAGGGGGGGTTGAGTCTATTATTTCTCCGACTTGGTCAGGGAAGTTTACATTTCCCAGGAAAAAGTGAGGGAATTTCAGAAACCCTGTGGCTGTGGCAACCATGTAATGTCTAACTTCACTTGGTGATTGCACCTGTCTGCAACATCATAGCAAGCCTGTTCCAGGCATTCAGAGAGCGGAGTGCGTCCACCCCTCGCTGCTTTTCCTGCTCACATCTCTCTGCTCCGTCCCACGATCTAAACGCCTGAAACGGGCTAGGAACACCAAGAAATTTTGAAGAGGTTTCATGTGAATGGTCCTGACACAGGACCTCAGCGTGCAGCGCGAGCGCGTATTTTTTTTCCGGCGAGCAAAAGCTCACTGTGTATTGCGTGTTGTCACCATCTTTGATATTGAACGTAGCTCCCATCCTTTGTCGATAGGAGGGAATTCCGCTTCCCAAAAACTGCTGCGCGATAGGAATTCTGGCTTGTATAACAGGTGGGATCTGGAAAAAGATACCCTACTCTAGACCCAACTCTCTGATTTCTATACCCTATTCTAGAGTAAACTGCGTGAAAACCATACCCTTCACGGCGGCACATGCTTATAGAGCCCATATACTCCCTCTTCCCCGGAAAATTTAGAACGTTGTTTTGATAAGCAGCCGGGGGATTGGCGCGAAGCTCACTTTTCTTCTTGCCGTGACCCCCAACAGGCTACCAGAGAGCTTAAGCAACGACAACGGCGACAGCAGCAAGAACGGCCAAAAAAGCAACAGGTTAAGGGCCTGTTTTCATGTAGTTAGGTGAGGTAACATGCGGCGGGTCACCCCACCTATCATGTAAACGTGATCAAATTAAAATGAGAGATTATATGGACAGGCGGGTTACCCTACCTAATCGGGTTACCTCACGTAACTGGGGTCCCCCACATCCATGTAAACAGGCCCTTAGGTTGACAAAACAATAACTTTGCACGCTTTTTTGAACAATTCTTTGCCGACACTGCACGATTATGAAGGAGTGTAGCGTTCATATACGCACATACGCCCGTGGGCTCGAGGTTGAAATATGGAAAAAAAAGGTCTTTTTTATTTTCTGAAAAAGCATTTTTTATAATTAAATCGGGATGACTGATACATGTTTTGCACTTTATTGGTGTATTTGTGTTAGTATTTCCTTTATCCTTTTATTTTTCTATAATTCTGATGGCGTCACTGGCCTTTTTTTCCGTAAACACTGCTAGAGACGAGTAAAATAAAAAACTAACTACTGCATTTTCTTGCGTAGTAATTTGCTGAAAATGTCCTGCGGAAAACGATGGGAATGGCTTTTCTAAGACCCAAAATTCTCGGTGAGCATGCCCCCAGAGCCCCTTAGGTTGCGCCGCCTGTTACTTGGCGCTACGACTTCTTCTCCTGCGTGCGTAAACTTTCAAAATCTCACGCTACGCCCCACCATGATGTGAAACTGCCTAATTTCACATATTGTGAAGGGCATGCCTGACACAAGAAAACTACTTTCTGTTTCTTTTCCTGACCTTCGATACAGTACTTTAGATTTCAACTCCAGAAAAATTTGCCAACAGTTGACGGAGAAAGTGCGTAAAAGTTTGGAGCAGCGCGAATTCACTTTCAAGTGACGTTTTCGTAGCCTTCGCCCTTCGCAGTCGAGAAGAGAGGAACTTGAAATTTAGGGTTTTTAAGGATTACTAAACAAACGAAATGAACTCGGAAAAGATAAATGAAGCTGTCCAAAAAACATGGAATAAGAACTCCTCTTATTAACATAGCAGGCCAACAAGGCCAAGAGTATAAACATCTCAGTCACGCAATGCAAATTCGTCACGCTGGTAGATGACGTCAATGGTAAACCCCCCGCATCGTCGCAGCCTGGCGACGGGCGTTCGGCTTTGTTATCCAACATAATTGAGGAAAACTTAAGATAAGTTTATTTTAAAAAAGTAGGCTTATATACGTGGTCTTTATAACACCAAGGTTATTCGAGGTCAGGTTCAGAAAATCAACTGCGGGGACAAGGTTTTACGGTTCACGGCAGGTAAGTAAGCTCAGGAATGTCAGTCTAAAACTGAAGCGATCGATTTCCGCTGGGTTCGCTCAAACCGAGTATTAGTATTTGCCCTCTTTATTGAAGGTTGGTTTGTCCTATGGCATTGACATGAATCGGGAAACGTTAAATGTGTGTCACTGATTCGCCTGGAAGCTTATTTGAACAAACGAGTCGGTGTGTGGGTTCTTATAAATTTAGTTTGTAAATTTTGTCGCTTCCGACCACCACGGGAAAAAGTCATTAGGTTCCAACCTTCATCCGCCCTGGTGGCACATGTAAACGGCAGCTCTGAAATAACTTTCGTGCCCGTAAAACGGGATATTTTAAACCTTCTGTGTTTTATGTTTTATGGTATAAAGAGCAAAGCGAGATCTTGCTTGAAATGAAAGATTTCTCCTATTTCTGCCTATCCTTCGAGTTATGAATAATTACTCTATCGTTAAAAGTTTTAAAACTTAATTAATTTCCTCGGCGAACACTTCATACAATTTCGTGAGGTAAGGCCAGTAAAAGACCAATGTTACTATTTACACGAAGACTTGTCGGAGCGAAAATTTGTTTACCAAAAATATAGCTGTCTGTGATTTGACTTTATGGCTCCACGTTTCATTAAAAATGCAAGAGCTCAATAAAAACTCTTAAAGGTTTTTCTGTGATACATGATCATAGATGTAAGCTTCATAAGCTTGCTTTTTAGTTGGAAGATGAGAGATCTTTACCGTCATTCTAAACTAGAGTAAAGGGTTCTTTTGTTTAGGTTGTGGGTATTTAAAATAAACGGCTTTGATTTTTAGTTGTACAGGCAAGGGCACATTCCTTCGTATCAGTTTTAAGACCCAAACATAAGCATAAAAGCTTCGTTTTTCATCATCATCGTCGTTTTCTTCCTATGAAGGAAGACGAAGAAGGAAGATTTCAGCAATTTATCATCGATATTTCAGTTCTAGGTGATATCCAGCGTGGGTAGACAGTGATTAAGAAAAAGGCTACAGGTCCTATAATTAACACGGACATCTTTGTTCAAACTGCGAGGTACATGCAATTTGCAATTTATATACTACCGCCACATGCGACAGAACTTAGATTTGATTATCTGACTGTTTTTGAGTCTTTTTTCTTTGTCATACGTAGTAATAATGCAAATTTATGGCCAAAACTCTCGGTTTCACTTCATCGTAAGCGAGGAGAAAATGGCAGCGTCAACTTCGATTCCGTCGAGTTTAAGACTGCGTTTACGACTCCGATTTATTTTGATCTTTTTTTGCTAAAATGGGAAGAGATGGCAAATTTATCATTATTATGTTTTTTATCAACAAAACAGTTACTTAGACTATCGTGGGACAAACCATGAGTGAGAACCGTGTAATACAAAAGTGTAAATACTGATCGAGAAATTTCAAGATACACTAGATGGCATATCAAAATAGATGACATGATGAGCCAGCATTTTACAGTGAAACCTCGATATAACGAAGGGCCAATGGACTGGCAAAGTATGTTCGTTATAAACAGTCAACTCTCGTTAATGCGGACACCCTCTGGACCGCGGTTTAGTGTCCGTGAATAACGAGATTCCTTACAAAACGGTAGCCTGCGTGCAGACGATAACTAAACTCTGATTAGTACCGTCTGCGAAGCAGCGCAGAGATCCTTGTTCTGGACCCCCAACGGACTCAACGAATTACCGGAAGTGCGTTTCGAATTCCCCTTCAACCTGATTGGTGATCACGACAAACAAAACAAAGGCCTTTTTTAACTGGCCAATCGTGGCGCGTACTCAAATCTGGGTACACAGCTGGAAGTCCAGAACAAGGATTTCGGCGCTGTTTCGCAGACGGAGTTAACCAGAGTTTAATTTCGTCTGCGCGCAGGCTAACAAAACGGGTGCGAGGAAAAATTTCTTGATATTTTTATTAGAGGATTACATTTATGCATCCGTCAATTCCAGCTGTGCCCAGCGCCCCCCTGGGCTGACCCCGGGCACTTGCACTTTTTTTGCCTTGGATGGCAAATTCCTGGGGGTGGGGACTCTTGAGCTGTCAAATCCCCCGCGGTGGGGACGAAAAAAGAGGGCAAATGCCCCGTCCTCCGGAAACACTGCAACATTTTTCATTGATCGCATAGTCAAATAGTGCCGTTTTAAACATTTTAATGTGAATTTTTTGTTTCAATTAACATCTTTTTTTTGTAATAGCGCTATGATTCTAATTAAGACTTCACGCCACAACGACATGCACCAGTTTATAATTTTGGTATTGATATAAAATTATTGACATTAAAATAACAGAGTACTGTCAAGTTAGATGTTATGAATAGTTTTATAAATATGAAAGGATGTTTTTCAAATAATCTCAACAGAAATTTGATTCAATAACCAAAAAACGTTGATTCACGTCGGTAGCTCCTGATTTCGCTATGTAATTCTGGCTCGATAAGCAATGAAGAAATGCATGCATAAAATCAAGAACATGCCGTCACAAACCTCTTCAATTTTTCCTGTCCTTGACAGATGAGCCAATCTGCTTTCTTTGCCAGTAAAATCCTCTGTGTAGTAATTTTCTGATAGCAAACCGCGTGCGTGTCAAAAGCTCAGGAATGGCCGCGGGGTTGGCAAATGTCCGGCCCCGGGCAGCTCAAAATTTGCAAATGCCCCACCCTCGGGACTGACAAGGCGGGCAAATGCCCCGCAGAAGCCCGGGGGGGGTGCTGGGCGCAGCTGGAATTGACTGATGCATTATTTATATTTTACATTGTCTCCAGAACCAAATTGCAAATGCGGTTTTCGCATATAAATAGCGTCAGAACTTTATTTTCAAACAACACACATCGTAACAGAACACGGAACTTGCATCTCCCCTCTTTTCACCACAACAGTCATTGAAAAATTTGCGGTACACAAAAACCATAAAGTACGGTGCTAGGAAACCCAATTCATGACATTAAGTACATCATGACTGTTTTTGCAGGTAAGTACCGTTGTTTAATTTCATAGTAGGATGATGTTAAAAGGTAATCCCGTGAATGTTCACAGTTAACCAAAGTGACAGAGACGAAGTGAAGAAGAAGAAGAAATAAATTATAACCCAAGATAATTTTGCCAAAATGTCGAAAGATGCTGATTGATGTCCGTTATATAAACGAGAGTTAGAAAAATAAAATTGTGCTGTCCGGTGGGGACCGTAATATCAGCCAGTCCGTAATATTAGCCAGAGTCAGTAACAGCGGGAGTTCGTTTCAGTCAAATGTTGTAATTTTAGCCGGGGATTCAGAAGCTGTCCGTATTAGCGGGATGTCCTAATAGATAGCGAGGTGTAAGGAAAGACTTAGTCTGTTACACAGCCGTTTTTAGTGTCGTCACGTAACGCTCCTCCCCACATGAAGGGAAAGTATGCATCATAATAAAACACACAGAAGAAACCTTTGTGTAAACACAGAGAAAGGAGACTTAATGGGCTTGTTTTGATTGCAAGTATCCTTCCCGAAGAACAAACGTCTTCAGGCCACACCGACTGGTATATCTGGGTACCAAGTTTTGCAGTTTGATTCCATGCAGGACGAATGTTCAGTTGAGGAGAATGTGTTGACATTGTAGTCTTATCCCATAGCCTTTGGGACGAAAAACCGTAGGTCCTATAGATTACTGACACAGTACTGTCTCTGTAAAATTTCGATACGACGTCAATTAGGTCTGAGACTCATGAGAGTGCTAAACTTAAAAGTGTTTTGCCTCCAATCGTGCTTTCTTAGGTAAAGGAATTGGTCTGACAGAAAAAAATCTAGGACATAGGACATCTTGAGAAATTCGAGTGGTGTATAATTAAACCTCAGGATGTAATGAAAATGATATAAGCATAGGTGCTATGCGTCGGTCACTGCACATTTTACGGTGAAACCTGACTAAACAAGTGCCATCATGATTATGCAAGCGTTTATGGTAAAAATGAAAGATTAAATTGGCCGAATGTTCATTTGAACAAAAGATTCGCAGCAAATTTGTTTGCTTAGAAGAAAGGATGTGCACTTAATTGATCATGGCCTTATTACTATTTTGAACGCTAGGTAGCTTTCGAAAATATGATTGAAATTTAAGGCTACTCTCACACGGACCAGCTGAAACTGAATTGGACCGGACGCTCTGTTCACACAGGACCACTTAAGGAGGTCTCGTGTGAACAGATCACCTAAACACTCCAAGGTTTATTCGTCCGATGACGTACATGTGAACATAGCCGCAGTTGGTTAGTGTGCGGCCGTCGGTGCGCTAGATCCCAAGTTCGATCCCCCACTATGATGACATTACATCCTTGGTTTAAATTGATGGAGAGGGGAGTGGGTAAATCATCGCACCGTTGACCTCAAGTTTATCAGATGAATCACTGTCACGAGTTAATATCGACTTAAAATGTAGTTGCTCTACCTTTACTCTCTACCGGACGAATTTTCGACTGGCTGATTGAAATTAGACCGGATTCCTTCTTCATACGAAACGTTTTCACGCTGTTCACATGGAACTGACAAACCACGTTGAATTGAACTTTTCTCCACATTTCCCAGTTGTTTTACTATTTGCCAATGCACAGAGCGCTACTTGAGCAAATCCAAAATGGCGTCTCCCAGCGGAGTTGCCAGTCATTCATGCAACCACGCCTTTGCCGTACAAAAATTTAGACGGATATGGGTGTTCACTCCGCGCCGGTTTAAATTTTCGACCATACCGGCTAAAATCTGACCTCGATTTTGGTGTTGACAATTTTTGAACGGTTAGGCGTCTACTTAAGTTTTCGTCCAGCCCGAGTGGTTCCGTGTCAACGCAACAGCTCAACGCACGAATTTACAACCGTTCGGAAATTCGTCCCGTTCCGTGTGAATGTAGCTTAATATTTGTGCACACGGACAAAACTCTTGTCAGTAACACCATGAATGGTTTTTTTTTTCCCAAAAGGATCAGCCCGCAAGAATCAGCGCCTTCAAGTGACATGAACAGTCCAAGAGAACATAATCTCGTTATCACAGAATTTAACCGTGGATTGATACCATATATGCGTTGCGCACGCATATTGCGAACGCCAGCCTTACTGTGTTTACTGCTGTTTTGTTCGTTTACTTGCTTAATGCTGTGGATGATTTATGTTCAATTTTCAACGCTGCCTGGCTTTATGCTCCAGCCATTAAGAACGATAGATCAAAGTTTTAACGATTCATTAATGAGCATCGGAGGTGTTTCTAGACCATATCCTGAGACAAAAGATGTAGACGACTTAACTCTTGTTTCACTAATGAATGAGAAGCCACCTCGTGAAACAGAAGCTATATCCAACGCGAATCTTCTTCCAATATTAGATTTTCAAGACTTAGGAATCAACAAGAAGAAAGTAATGTTACTGATAATTGTTAGTACTGCACCAGCAAGATTTGATAGAAGGCAGGCGATTCGCGGCACCTGGTGGAAACACTGCACAGGAGATATGGTTAGTGGATGCCGGAATGCCATAAACTTCCGTTTATACCCCCGATAGTTTCTTAGTTTGATTTTTGGTGACGTCATGTGCAATCTAAGAATACGCCCATCTACCCGTAAACAAAAAAAGGCATCCGATAATAAACCCCCCGAATATACTAAAGAGCTCCCCCCGGCATGCTTCCGCTTATAACCTCTTATCCACTAGTTATACGCCCATCTACCTGTAAAAAAGAAAATGCTTCCGATAAAAAGCCCCCGAACATACTAAAAAGCCTCCTCCCCCAGCGTGCTTACGCTTATAACCCCTGATACACTAGTTATATGCCTATCTACCTGCATAAACAAGAAAATGCATCCGATAAAAAGCCCCCAGGATATACTAAGAGCCCTCCCCCCTTCCCCAGAAAAGCCCCACTGACTCTTTCTCTTCGTCATTCTCGAAATGATATCGGGGTGTTTTCTCAAACAGGTTAAGTGCGTCTTTATAACCGATGGCTTCATCAAAGACTACTTTCAGCGTACGTTGACAGTTTCTGAGAGAAATACTTACAAGGACATGGAATTACAGGCTTTACAAGGAGGCTGGGAGTTTGGACTTCGTTTTCTTAACCATATAAGATGGGCGATGGCTAAATTTGACTTTCAGTATCTTCTTAGAATTGACGATGACTATTTCCTTTGTTTAAAGAGGCTTCTGGAAGAGATTTCTTTACGGCCAAAAGACAACCTAGTTTGGGGACTTTTTCACTGCGAAGTTGGCATCACATGGATTGATGAATCATTTCTGTTGTTCTCTAAGAATATCATTCAACAGTTCTTGGCGCAAAACGAAAGCACGATGCTTTGTCATCCTCACGCTGACCAACAGATCGGTATTTGGCTGCAGGACATAAAGATAAAACAGTATTTTCACGACACACGATTGTATCATCATCCGCCAGCTTCCTATGCACCGCAATTCCAAAACGCCACAAACCTTTGTAGTTCATATTTGGGACTACATGGAACATACGCAAATACGATGTGGGCGTTTGGCAAAAATGCAAACGATAGCGCTAAAGACGTGTACGCAATACCTCCATTTTCAAGTTTTTGCCAAGCCACGACGTTTGATTATGGAAAGATATATCCCCCATACCATTTTGAACCTAAACCTTGCAAAGACAATCCATCGTGGAACGTGGGAGATAAAATGTTTTCTGGTCGTGAACATCACTAGTTAAGAGGCTGGTCTTCACTCTTGCAAAATACAGCAGACGGAGGTTTCTAACCGCTGTGCGTATTAGAATCCTTTCAAAGAGAAATGTATGTTCTGTATGTTGGTTGTAGACAAACAAAGCGAACTGAAAAGCTCTTCAAAATTGTCTTTTAGCGACATTGCCCCATAAGCACTCACCTTTACTGCTGCCGAGTTGATTTAAACTTCATTGAAACCTGTTATGACACCTTGTGCGTTCTAATACACCCCTCCCGTTTAAAAAGCTGACAGGAACGGAACAGCGCACACGTTGAACGTTTTCCTATACTTTTCACACAGCAAAAATCAGCGAATGTAAAAAACGTACACCAGATTTTAAAACTCGGGGCTGTGCAAAAGAGGCCTGTAACCCGACGGTTTAATTGGTCTATTTTCCAAATTTTGACCACATGATGTTGTGATACGTTACAGAACTGTTTCTTATTCGTGTATATATAGAACCTTTCCTTCCCAAACTAATCCATTGGGACCAAACAGGATTTATGAAGGATAGATTTATTGGTCAAAACGTAAGACTTTTGAATGACCTTATGGAATACACGGACGTGAAGAAGATCTCAGGAATTTTTCTTTTTATCGACTTTGAAAAAGCATTCGATTCCATAGAGTGGAACTTTATAAAAGGAAGCTTAGAATTGTTTAATTTGGGGCCATTCTTAACAAGATGGCTGTCAATTCTTTACAATAATTCCGAGGCAGCAGTGATGAACGCTGGTTACATGATTGATTACTTCACTGTATCCGGAGAAGTTCGTCAAGGGTGCCCGCTGAGTCCATTCCTCTTCATATTGTCCTGTTCTCGTTTTTGTGGAAAAATAAGAAAGATAACATTCAGCGAAATGTTGTATGCCAGCCACTTGAAAATGGTGGCCTTAACTTTATAAATTTTGAAATTGTGGTTAAATCTTTGCGACTAGCCTGGATAGCTAGACTGATTAGCAACTCTGATGACAATTGGAAGGCAATACCGAATTTCTATTTCGACAAATATGGTGGCCTGCCGTTCCTTCTTAAGTGCAACTACAATACTGCAACTCTTGACAACAATCTACCTTTATTCTACCGTGAGTTATTAGATTATTTCCAAGAACTAACGAAATTCTCAGAATACGATAAAAACAATGACCTCATTGTTTGGAATAACAGGAGAATTACAATAGAAAGGAATAGTGTCTTCTGGAAATAATTGTTTAATCAGAGTGTTACTTTCATTAGCGATTTAATGAACTCAAATGGTAAATTTCTAACCTTCGATGAATCTCAAAATAGATTTGAAATTAAAGCTAACTATTTGCACTATTTTCAATTAATTGCTGCCATTCCTCCGGATTTGAAACGAAAGGCATTTGGTTCCACGGTTCCTGATCTGCTTGGAGCAACTTCAGAGTACTGTCAACTAGAAGATAGAACAATAGTCTTAACCAAATTCCGTTGTAAAAATTATTACAGACTATTCATCGAGAAGATTGTTTCAGAACCCTCCGCAGTAAGGGCTTGGAAAAAAAGCTTCTCAGAAATTCCGAATTGGAGTGATTGTTTTGTGAATAAATACAAGTCCTCGAAAGATAAATTATAAATAATAAATTATTAACTTCAGATTTTTAATCACTTTTACTGTTAAAAATAAAGTGTTAATTTGAGCCCCTCCTTACACTCATCTCTGTAATACAGACACCTCTGTAATGCAGACACTTGGCTCTGTCCCTTTTGTGTCCATGTTAAGGAGGTTATACTGTAATACGGACACCTCTGTAATGCGGACACTTGGCTCTGTCCCTTTGGTGTCTGTATTAGGGAGAGTTACACTGAAATGCAGACACCTCTGTAATGCAGACACTTGGCTCTGTCCCTTTTGTGCCCATGTTAAGGAGGTTATACTGTAATACGGACAACTCTGTAATGCGGACACTTGGCTCTGTCCCTTTGGTGTCTGTATTAAGGAGAGTTGCACTGTAATGCAGACATCTCTGTAATGCAGACACTTGGCTCTGTCCCTTTTGTGCCCATGTTAAGGAGGTTATACTGTAATACGGACAACTCTGTAACGCGGACACTTGGCTCTGTCCCCTTGGTGTCTGCATTAGGGAGAGTTAAACTGTAATACAGACACCTCTTTAATACGGACACTTGGCTCTGTCCCTTTTGTGTCCATGTTAAGGAGGTTATACTGTAATACGGACACCTCTGTAATGGAGACACTTGGCTCTGTCCCTTTGGTGTCTGTATTAGGGAGAGTTACACTGTAATGCAGACACCTTTAATGCAGACACTTGGCTCTGTCCCTTTTGTGCCCATGTTAAGGAGGTTATACTGTAATACGGACAACTCTGTAATGCAGACACTTGGCTCTATCCCTTTGGTGTCCATATTAAGGCGGTTTGACTGTAATACAGACACCTCTGTAATGCAGACACTTGGCTCTGTCCCTTTTGTGCCCATATAAAGGCGGTTTGACTGTAATACAGACACCTCTTTAATACGGACACTTGGCTCTGTCCCTTTTGTGCTCATATTAAGGCGGTTTGACTGTAATACAGACACCTCTTTAATACGGACACTTGGCTCTGTCCCTTTTGTGCCCATATTAAGGCGGTTTGACTGTAATACAGACACCTGTAATGCGGACACTTGGCTCTGTCCCTTTTGTGCCCATATTAAGGAGGTTTGACTGTAATACAGACACCTCTGTAATGGAGACACTTGGCTCTGTCCCTTTGGTATCTGTATTAAGGAGATTTGACTGTAATACAGACACCTCTGTAATGCAGACACTTGGCTCTGTCCCTTTGGTATCTGTATTAAGGAGAGTTGCACTGTAATACAGACACCTCTGTAATGCAGACACTTGGCTCTGTCCCTTTGGTGTCTGTATTAAGGAGATTTGCACTGTAATGCAGACACCTCTGTAATGCAGACACTTGGCTCTGTCCCTTTGGTGTCTGTATTAAGGAGAGTTGCACTGTAATGCAGACACCTCTGTAATGCAGACACTTGGCTCTGTCCCTTTTGTGCCCATGTTAAGGAGGTTATACTGTAATACGGACAACTCTGTAATGCGGACACTTGGCTCTGTCCCTTTTGTGCCCATGCTAAGGAGGTTATACTGTAATACGGACAACTCTGTAATGCGGACTCTTGGCTCTGTCCCTTTTGTGCCCATGCTAAGGAGGTTATACTGTAATACGGACAACTCTGTAATGCGAACACTTGGCTCTGTCCCTTTGGTGTCTGTATTAAGGAGATCTGACTGTAATGCAGACACCTCTGTAATGCGGACACTTGGCTCTGTCCCTTTGGTGTCTGTATTAAGGCGGTTGCACTGTAATGCAGACACCTCTGTAATGCAGACACTTGGCTCTGTCCTTTTTGTGCCCATGTTAAGGAGGTTATACTGTAATACGGACAACTCTGTAATGCAGACACTTGGCTCTGTCCCTTTGGTGCCTGTATTAGGGAGAGTTAAACTGTAATGCAGACACCTCTGTAATGCAGACACTTGGCTCTGTCCCTTTGGTGTCCATATTAAGGCGGTTGCACTGTAATACAGACACCTCTGTAATGCAGACACTTGGCTCTGTCCCTTTGGTGTCCATATTAAGGAGGTTGCACTGTAATACAGACACCTCTGTAATGCAGACACTTGGCTCTGTCCCTTTGGTGTCCATATTAAGGCGGTTGCACTGTAATACAGACACCTCTGTAATGCAGACACTTGGCTCTGTCCCTTTGGTGTCCATATTAAGGAGGTTGCACTGTAATACAGACACCTCTGTAATGCGGACACTTGCTCTGTCCCTTTGGTGTTCATATTAAGGCAGTTTGACTGTAATACAGACACCTCTGTAATGCGGACACTTATCTCTGTCCCTTTGGTGTTCATATTAAGGCAGTTTGACTGTAATACAGACACCCCTGTAATGCAGACACTTGGCTCTGTCCCTTCTGTGCCCATATTAAGGCGGTCTGACTGTAATACAGACACCTTTTTAATGCCAACACTTGGCTCTGTCCCTTTGGTGTCCATATTAAGGCGGTTGCACTGTAATGCAGACATCTCTGTAATGCAGACACTTGTCTCTGTCCCTTTAGTGTCTGTATTAAGGAGAGTTGCACTGTAATGCAGACACCTCTGTAATGCGGACACTTGGCTCTGTCCATTTGGTGTTCATGTTAAGGCGGTTGCACTGTAATACAGACCCTACTGTAATGCGTCATCATAAAGGGCAGGAATTACGTACAAATGTTACCATGTTATTATTCGTTTTTTAGTTTTAATGAAATGGTACACGAATCCAGACCTTTCGGCGTTTTAACTATGTCGTTATCCGTCATGTATGAATCTGTTCACGACACTAAATTTTTTCAATCTTTGGGCAAGAATGTCGTTACGATAAGAAGAACTATTTAGGCTCAGAAAATGGTTAGAAATTAAACATCCGTCGTCATTGTATTTGTGATTACAAAAAATGACGCCGTTTCAAGGGTAGCCTTGTCCTTGAAGCTTGAATTTCCGCATAAACTATCACGGTACTGAAGGGTTTTTGAACTGACTTTCAGCGAGCATATAATTTTACCTCCATCGAGTTCCAGTTGTTAAGCAAAGTGATGACTAATGAGTAACCTTCAAAATGTAAAACTGAATATGATAACGAACTAGTGATTATCAATCAACGTCAGTATACAGTTCCGTTACATATGGAAAAATATCAAGCGATGATTGAACTGGGAATGGCTGCCTAGAAGGCTGGTTCTAAATATTGCTTTCAAACTCTTTAAGTGAATAATAAGTATGTGTAATCAAATGATGACGAGTTAAATTAGATGTGAATTACGCGCGTTTCATGACAGAAGTCTGATAATTTTCGAAGCGTTAAGGCTATCTTCGATTTGTGAAGAGTTGTTGTACAGTGTAAAAAAGACTCGCTTGGATTATTAGCTACGTTTACTTACTTTTTAATCCTTGTTTCTCTTTTCTTAAAAGAAATATTACTTGTGGCATACTGTTCAGACATGAAAATTTATTTTATCTTTTCAGCCAAATTTTAATTCTCAGTTATCAATTAAATAATCTTCCCTCTTAAAATCATATGCCTCGAAAATCGTTTTTTGTGTGATTACTCTTTCTCCATGCACAGTACGTGACCTTTCTGAATAAACTCGAATCAAAATCCAACATGGACGTAGCTAAAACAGGAAGAGGCACTATACAGTTATCAATTACTTTGCTGCCAGTTGGCATGTAATGTCCACTGCGCTTGCTGTGCACTGTGGGATTCCATGAATTGCACGTCACGTTTTAGCGCTGACTTTCTTACTTTTGAAAAAAGTGAAAAAACCCATCGGATTAACACTGTAATTTTCCTTTGTGTAGTAAATACAATCAGGTGGTTCTTTTTTACTTCGCTGGTAAAGGATGCTTTTGTGTGTGTATGTGTGTGTTCTAGTCTTTTTTCACCCCCTGTAGGTGGGAAGGAAGATTAGGGGCCAATTTGCATACAAGCCTTGAAAACGAAAAAACGAAAAGTATCAACAACAACACTCAACAGTGAGAGGTACGCACATTTATTTAGACACTTATGATGAGGGTGAGTTGACGTCCTTCTAGTGTAAGGGATGATTTCCATGAGAGGCAATGCATGAAAGGCCGCGGGCAAACTTTAAAGTTGCGCAAGGTTCAGCTGTAACGTTTACGCACGATGACCTTTCATATATTTCCTCTATTTTATATGCGCTCGTAAAATGTACGTGGGTACGCACCTAAGAATTACACGACAGTGGAAATTCACTCTAAGTTTATCGACTGAGAGTTTGCATAGCTAGAACATGAACCATAAACTGAGAAGTATTATATTACCTAATTTTGTCGTTTTTTAAACAAGGCGGGCTGAAAGTGCCCGTAAGCAATAATTTATCTTTTATAGGGCTGATGTGTTTTCATTTAGCAGGTGTGATTTTGTGAAATTTTTGAACGCATGAGAAGTTTTTACCCTGGGGGTACTCCCTATCATGCCCTGTATGGGGAGGCTCCGCCCGAAAGGAGTATTTTTTTCAGGCCTCAGGTATATGAAAGGCCAGGGATTTCACTAGTTGAAGTGTATGCACAAAGGGGTAGGGAAATCCGTCGGTCCATCTGCCAGAAGACCTAAATGGGCTAACAGAAGAATTTATGGCTTCCACTAAATTTCTGCTTTTGTGATTTTTCATATTTTAATAAAAACGTCAGTACATTTACAGCAGTCAAAAGGGATGCGACATTCTAAACGTAGGCATGTGAAAGGAGTACCATTTTTCCATTACGGGTACCTTATATAGAGGGGTAAGGGGGTAGGACCTCGTCAAGTACCCCCCGGGAGTTTTCATGACCGTAAGAAATCTTTTAGCTGAGAGCTTTGAAAGCTGTCAAGTGAGTTTCTAATCGCCTGCTGAGAACTTTGCAGCCGTTTTCAAAGGTTTTTCAACGGCTGGATCGAGTATAACAAGGAGGAAGGAAAATGTTTTTAATTTTTCTTTGAAAAATTTTTTGAATCAATTGAAAATCAGTCTTGTTGAGAGACGTTCTTGAGCTTTAATTTCAGCGATCGCTCATCAAGATTTGTCAAGAAAATCAAGAGTTAAAAAGCATTACCGGATCTTAGGTTTTAGCTTTCATTTTGAAGATGAAGGGCTTAACAAATGAGACGCCGGCGTTCACTTACAATACGGTACAATAAAGTTTATGCATGCGGGCGACGTCTTTAGGATTTTAACATTAACTAACAAAATGACGAAGGCGGTGAAAACGCCACTAAGAAAAATGAACTTTCGATCTCTATCGCGCTTATTCAGCCTCGGTCAATTTGTGAAATGTACAGCTGAAATGTAGGTGGCGAACTTTCTGGAGTTTTCTTATTCAATTTCAAAAAGTGAAAGGAAGTGGATGTCAAATTTTTCTAGAAGTGTCATGCACGCTTTCTTTAGCTTTTTTGTATGTTCGTCTCCAATTTTTCGGCGGGAAGAAAAACTTTTACAGGCAAATGTGTAGGAAAATATTAATTATAATTCGACCACATGTAAAGCCCTCAAATTTTGTCAGTAGAATCCTTACGTGTGTAGCTTTAGTATACAATTTATTTTTTTTCTTTCAGAACAACCATTTTAGGAAAATTATTCTACATTAGATTCTCATACATTCACCGTAATTTCTCAAAAACCCTTTAAGGCCCATGGTAAATATTAAATTCACATTTTATGGATATTAAGATGACTAAAAATCGATCGGTTCCTTGAAGTGGTCTTTCTGAATCGAACAGCTGCCACATCAATGATCAGAGAGTCAAAAGAGAGAACCGCCTTGCATAACACAATAAACTTCATTCTGACATGGAATACTGCTGCAGATTTTCTTGTCCACAGACTCAAATGGTATAGAAACTCTGCGCAGCACGATTAACTGCACTTCAGGGTCACGCGGTTGGAGATATTTCACTTAAAGGGGCTTTCAAAATTCAAAAAGTGGCAACCGTCAACAAACTGCATAAAGATAACTGCTCAAAACTTGAAAACAAAGTATAATTAACAAAGAAAATACAAATGGAAGCACGGATGCACAAATTTTATTATAAGAAGATTGAAACGGATTGCAACTGTCGTTTTTGCCAGTGTTTGTAACGTTTGATATAATTCTTGGAAGACACTATTTGCTTGATAGGGTGCTGAAATTTTGTCATTCACAATTTTAAATGTCTCAACTACCATACCGAAAAAGGACACGTATTAATAAACTAGCATTATTACCAAGATGTGTTGTCAACCGTTGGACAATTTAAAGCACATTTAAAAGTCATACCTCAGCTGGAATTGTCCACAGACTTAAAATTAAGAACCAACTTATATACAGCTGCCTAACATGGAAAATATAACCAAAGGGAGATACTGCTCATCACAATTCATTTCAGTATTTATCCATTAGGATGCTGTGAATTACAAATTCAGAAGCAAATACAACATCCTGTTGCCCTACGGCATTGGGAGGTAATCAGAGTTTGAATTGCAAGTACTCTTACCATTGTTTACACAGCTATTTTTTCTTCGAAATGAAAACCTGGAAATTTTATTTGGTTGGAGTATATTTTCGTCGATCAAACAATGCCAAGACCGTCGACTGTCAGCTCGTTTGTCCTGTTTGATTAGCGAAATTCTCTTTCCAAGCGCCGGTGACAATTTTGAAGGTTGGCCGCAGTAAAAATCATGTTACATTTGGCTAGGTGGCATCCGCATGAACTGGTGAAAATAAATACCTTTGTCTGCTAACAGATAAAAAAATAGTGCTGTAGGCTGCTGATAACGCAACCAAATTAACGCAGTATCCATCGAACCGATTGAAGGAAGCATTCTGTAAATAGTATGACACGAAATCTTTTTTGTCTCCATGGGAGCATCTTGCAAAGATACTTTTTGTTCAAAAGCTTCATAGGCTTTTTAGCTGGCAAAGAAGAAGTGGAGGGTATACGAATGTAAATGCAAGAGAATAAATTGCTTGTTTAGTTTAGTTTTTTCCAGTTTGCCAAACCAGAAACATTATACAAAAATATTTTTATTCATGGGGGCAATTCGATGATTATTTTATTTGTTTTTCAAAAAATACATAATCATTGTGTATTATATATTAAAAAATATGTATAGTTTTTCACTTCTTTCGATAAAAACAGAAATTCGATTAACGCTTGTGTAGCGACCGAAAATATTGTTACTGAAATATAACGAAGTGATCTATAAACAGTGACATTATTTGACAGTCCTAAAAAGTTTAGAGAAACACAAGAAACTGCTTTTAGGAGTCAAGTAAGTGGGTTTCGCAGTTTGTCTAATATGGTGGTTTAGCAATGCTTGAGGCAACAATGGATTTTGCTTGGGAAACTGGCAGATTCGTATCATTTACATGACAAACTCATCTCAAAACACCTGTAACAGTCAATTGAATTGCATGTAACAATTAAAAAAATCGCCACCTGAAAGAGTATTTCTTCATACAAAAGTAATAAATGTCACCCTCTTTTTGTCAAAACACAATCGTCATTCGCCAACTGAATTATTATAGGACAAAAGTTTTCATGCGATTTTTGATTAAAAACTGTAAGCAAGTTCTACTCTATGCAAAGGCTGATTGCGACAGGAAAGCGTGGACGTCAGTAAAATTCACAAGTAAATTCGACGTGCGTTCTGTTGCTTACGTAATTGTTAGACACGTATCAGGACTGTTGAGCAGAGAAAAACCTTCCGGTTGGTTCCCTTTCGCTTATTTTGACTATATATGGAGTGCAAAACTACCGAACGGTTTTGAAGAGATCGGTTGCTTACTGGCATGATGGAGTGGTGGTTCCAGTTCTTTGGCTGGTTTCTAACTTTTCTTACAGTGTTAGGAAACTGCTCCGTGATTTTACTTATTTCTATAAATCGTCGGCTGTATTGTTCAGCAAACTGGTTTGTTCTCTCCCTGGCAGTAGCAGACTTTGCGGTTGGAGCAGCTGTTTTTCCTATGGGATATATCTGCAAGTACGTTACAAACTGCAACATGAGCTTATTTGTCGCCTTCTATTGGTTTTTTCTCCATTCGTCGACCACAAACCTCTGCGCTTTGATCCTGGATCGCTACACCATTCTTGTCTACCCTTTTAAGTACCCAACTTCTATGGTAGGGCGAAAACAGGGGACAGTCATCGTATTTTCATGGTTCATTCCGCTGACGATTTCTACATCTCTTTTACTAGGCCCATACGCAACAAAATCTCCTGTTTTTTTAAAGGCTTTGCATATAACCGGAGTCTCTGGGCTTGAAATAATATCGTGCTCGCTTATTTTTTACGCCGTTGTTCGTATTTTGCTAGTACAGGCAAAACAAAACTATGCTATGAAGTCTATTGAACGACAGATTCGCCATAATCAAGCATTAATCAGAGCTTCCATTCCGCGGAGAAGGAAAACCAGTGCAGTTGGCTTCGTGATTGCAATAGCGCTGTTCTGCTTCGGATGCTATGTCATCGTTAACTATTTAATACTATGCCTTTCATTTTCTTGTAGCAGTTTATCTGACTATGATCATGAAGAACTAATCTCAATTTGTACCTTGCTTCTAATAGGAAACTCGGCTGTAAACCCGTTAGTGTACGCACTGTTAAAAAGGGACATCAAACACGAATTGAGACAGCTAATTCATAGGCGAGTTAAGCACATTACTAAAAGCAGAAAATCTGCTATTTTGCTCAGCATTATTTGAATATATTTGTTAACCAATTGATACCAATTTTTTTATTTCTGCCATTTTTTCAGTGTTCTAACGTGAAATTTTAAAAATACTAAGAAATATATGTTACTTTCCAATGTAATCCAAATAGTATGTATGAGCAAATTCGGTATATGTATGTTAATGTCTGCGGATTTCCTTTCTTTTTCACAAAAAAGGAATATTTGCCTACCAGCTGCAAAGAACGCCCTTTGCACGATTTTCTTTCTTCTTAAATTATTTTTACTAATAATTTCGTAAACTCAATCGAACCTTTTACAATAACCATTGCTTTTACAATAAAGGTCATTTTTTCCTTCAAGTGGTAGTTATTTTACGACGAAATCGGTCTCTTTATTAATACGATGTTACAGATATTGCGGTAGGCTTTCAAAATTACCTCAGAACAAGTAAAATATTGAAACCCTTTTTCTGTTTTCAAAAACAATAAATAGCACGCGAAAAAAAATGGCAGAATATGATGAATTATTCTTATATTTCCTTAAGTTTAAGCAAATGTATATAGAATTTTATATTTGTTTAAATTGACTTTGTCGTGTCTATCACTGGATTTCTTTTTTTAGTCTATGTAATGCAGTTTCCAGGCGACTAAAAGCGTCTGACTTCGATTCAAACTAGATAAACTGGCGCTTTAGACTAAATATTTATAAATGAATTATAAGCTTAGGCCAGGTAAACTCTTTTTCTATGTGATGTAAGCGGCTTTTTATGATGTTAATAGGAGTCTTCTGCTCTTCGTACAATTCAAATGTAGATTACGAAAGTAAACATTGAAGCTTTGCTATAGTCTTAAAACAGCGCGCATATGATATGACTACTGATCACTGTGCTTTTGATTGATGATCGGGACTTAGTCGAAAGTCAACCGGAAGAGAGGTTGAAGAATTCTACAAGTGTGTGTCTGTACAAATAAACGTTCAGAAGTGGATAATTGCATAGAAATTTGATTTTGGACAAATTCCTCGAGAAAAACCTCAATAATAAATACTAAAATGATATATAAATATTTTATTGCAAGATAACGAGATTTAAAATCCACATATAAAGCGACTTAGTCTTGATAAGTGCTTTTATATCCTCAGGCTTTCTAATTCACTCGGCTACTTGCAAATAAAATAAACGTGCTACACGTGCACACCAAGTTGAAATAACGCTTACTGAGGTAAGATCACCTGTACATCGAATTTCAATCTTTATCTTACCGCATTAAAAGGAGCTTATCCCCGATCTTGCATCTTAAGTCCTCAGTGTTCTCCTGCCACTGTATGAGGACTGGGACCTAGGAGCGTTAGCAGAGACTGCTAGCGCAGATGGAGTAATAGTTTGCCGGAATGGCCGGGGTGTCTCCGCATTCAAAATGCCATAGACTATCCAGTTAGGGTTGAGATTTCCGTTCGGATTTAAACCTTAACCCTAGCAGCAAAATTTAAACTATGCCACACACCGTCCCCCAAACTCATCCAACCTGCAACCTCAAGGCGCCACAGATATACTGTGATACACGAATTTCTGCAAAGTATGATTGTTTTTGATGACCTTAAAACAAAAATCCAAAAAAAAAGAACGACCCAGAGCGATTAGAAACTGATCAGCTAAATGCATGGTACACAAACAACTACCTGGAAATCAAGCCTTATATGGTGATCCCCTTCCAAAACTACCGTACAATCGTTGTCCTGTCGGCGATATGAAAATAACTAATTAAAAATGACAGTCTTTAACCACCATAATGACATAACCCCTATGGAAAAATCCAATTTTCTACTTCATATAAGATCGATATTTTTAAAGTCTAGAACTGCTTTTTCTCTATGTAGAACATATTCAAAGACTATTTTATGGACTATTTGACTGAAAATGCCAAATGGACAATTTAAAATGTTCAACCAAAACCGTGGGTTAATCCCTTGGAAAAATCCAATTTTAGACCATATAAGATGAAACTTTTATAGTCTAGAAATTCTTGTTTTCTATGTAGGACCTATTCAAAGATTATTTTTCGGACAATTTTTACCGAAAGAAAAAGTGTTTCGACTATATTTCGATATTTTTATAGTCTAGAAATGCTTGTTTCCTCTGTAGAACATATTTAAAGACGATTTTATGGACAACTTTGACCGAAAATACAAAACGAAAAAAGTAACAATTTTTGGCCAAAACCATAGGTTAATTACCTCTTTTGAAAATATTTTCACAAACAATACGAAATGGACAAAAAAGGTCAACCTTAGGCCAAAACCATGGATTAACCCCTTTGAAAAAATCCAATTTTTCGACTTTACAATACCGATATTTCTGTAGTCTAGAAATGCTTGTTTCGTATGTAGAACAAATTCAAAGACTATTTTATAGACTGTTTTGGGGGGAAATCTAACCACAAAAAAAAATCGCTTTTTGATATTCTGGATAAAAAAGAATGCTTTTTAGACCGAAAGAGTAAAGTTCGAAAAAAGACCAAAAACTCGAAAATTTGCAAAGGGGTTAGTCAATGGTTTCTGTCAAAAAACCGACCTTTTTCTCATGTGTAATTTTTAAAAAAATGTAGCCACAAGAGAGGGTTTTTTAATATTCTGGATAAAAAAGAATGTTTTTTAAACCGGAATAGTAAAGTCTGAAAAAAGTCCATAAAATCGAAAATTTGCAAAGAGGTTACTCCATGGTTTTTGTCAAAAAATCGACCTTTTTCTCATATGTATTTTCCTTAGGAACCCTAGCCACAAAATATAGTTTTTTGATATTCTGGATAGAAAAAAGTGCTTCTTAGACCGGAATAGTAAAGTTTGCAAAAAGTGCAAAACTACCGCAAATTTGCAAAGGGGTTAGTCGATGGTTTTTGTCAAAAATCAACCTTTTTCCCGTGTGTGTATTTTTGGGATATGTAGACACAAAAGGTCATTTTTTGATATTCTGAATAGACAAGAATACTTTTTAGACAAGAATAGTAAAGTTGAAAAAAGTCCAAAAAATAGAAAATTTGCAAAGGGGTTAGTCCATGGTTTTTGACAAAAAATCGGCCTTTTTCTCATAAGTGTTTGTAAGGATATCTAGCCACAAAAGATTGTTTTTTGATATTCTGAATAGAAAAGAATGGTTTTTAGAGTACGGAATAGTAAAGTTTAAAAAACTCCAAAAAGTCAAGAATTTGCAAAGCGGTTAGCCCATGGTTTTTGTCAAAAATTGACCTTTTTCTCATGTGTGTTTTTTTGGGAGCCACAAAAGGTCGTTGTTTGATATTCTGGATGGAAAAGAATGCTTTTTAGACGGGAATAGGAAATTTTGAAAAAAGTAGGAAAATCCGAAAATTTCCAAAAGGGTTAGTCCATGGTTTTTGTCAAAAATCGACCTTTTTTCATGTTTGTTATTTTCGGGATATGTAGCCACAAAAGGTCATTTTTTGATATTCTGAATAAAAAAATATTCTTTTTAGAGAGGAATAGGGAAGTTTGAAAAAAGTCCAAAAAAATCGAAAATTCGCGAAGGGGTTAGTCCATGGGTTTTGGTCAAAAAATCGACGTTTTTTTTACAGCCGTTTTTTTGGGAAATCTAGGCTCAAAAGATGGTTTTTTAATATTCTGGATACAGTAGAAGATATTAAAAACATAGAAAAATTTGCCAATTTTTGATCAAAACCATGGACTAACCCTTTTGGAAAAATCCCAATTTTTTCGACTTTTTTAGCTCCTTGTTTTTATAGTCTGGAAAGGCTTTTTTCTTTCTAAAATATTCTTGAACACATTTTTCTGGCCTATTTTCCTTATATTAAAAAGGTGGAAAAATTGTTAATTTTTGACCAAAACCATGGTTTAACCCCTTTAAAAAATATACCAATTTTTTTGACTTTTTTTAACTTGTTGTTTTTATAGTTTAGAAGGACTTTTTTCTCTTTCTAGAACATTCTGAAACACATTTTTCTGGCGTATTTTGCCCATAATATAAAGATGGAAAAATTGCCAGTTTTTGACCAAAACAATGGACGAACCCCTTTGGAAAAATCCCAAGTTTTCGTCTTTTTTAACTTCTTGTTTTTATAGCGTGGAAAGGCATTTTTTTTCTTTCTAGAATATTCTCAAACACATTTTCCTGGCCTATTTTGCCTATATTACATAGACAGAAACATTGCCAATTTTTGATCGAAACCATAGACTAATCCCTTTAAAATAATCCCAATTTTTCGACTTTTTTAACTTGTTGCTCTTAGTGTCTGAAAAAGCTTTTTTCCCTTGTAGAATATTTTTAAACTCATTTTCTTTGCCTTTTTTCCTATATTAAAAAGATCGAAAAATTGCCAAGTTTTGACCAAAACCATGGACTAACCCCTTTGGAAAAATCCCAATTTTTCGACTTTTTTAACTTGTTGTGTTTATAGTCTGGAAAGGCTTTTTTTTTCTAGAACATTCTCCAACACATTTTCCTTGCCTATTACTCCCTCAATAACTCAGGGAGTAATAATGACTCGAAGAAATCGCATGAAATTCAGGCTACAAGCCATGCCACATGCCATTCCGCGAACTCATTCCTCCTTTTACCCTCACCGATTGTCAACAGAATTTACGCTAAACCATCAGTTACTTGCGGGCGCGAACAATAGAAACTTCATCATTACCCACCAATTCCTCGTTGTGGCCCCTGTTCAAGCAAATCGAGATTTTTCTGACATACTGACTGTATATTTCAACTGTAGGTACTTTCCTTTATATACGCACGAGTTAGTAGAGACTGCCTCCTGCACACGAACCAATGATACCATTCGTTAGAAATTGATCAAGAAGAACTCTAAAATACTTCACATCTGGACACGATGCAGTTTGTAGTGATGTAATTATTTCTTCGCTGCATTACAAATCATATTTATTCTTGCTTGCGTAAGCATCGAGACTCATAAATTGTCTCCCGGTCCTTAGACTACGATTAGTCCTCCATTTTTCCTCAGGGATAGTAGAGCGAGCGAAATGCGAGCGCGCCTGAAAATCACCCCACGCGAGAAAAGGCGACACGCGGCATTTTTCTCTCTCCCCGCCGCGTGTCGCCTTTTCTCGCGAGGGGTGATTTTCAGGCGCGCTCGCGTTTCGCACGCTCTACTATCCCTGAGGAAAAATGGGGGACTACTCGTAGTCTTCCCGGTCCTGTACTAGGAGCTTCAGGACCTTTAACGAAAAAAATGTGCAAAACTTAGCGTTCACTGTTTGCGTTACTCCAAATTTGGCCCACAAATTTTGCATAATTATGTGGCTAGTTCCAGTCCCCGGTCGGTTGTTAGCGTAACGCAACCACGTTTTTGAAAAATGAGAAATGCGGCAAGGATTTTGTCGCGGGGTTTGCGAAGAATGGCCATGAAAGCTTGTATCGACGCATTTTGACCAAATACAAGTCAAGCAAACTATTTTAGAGGATTCTGGAGGATAACAAGCAAGATAAACGCGAAAATCCAGGTAAGAAAACAGTAAGAATCGCCGAGCCGGCTATACACAAACTCTCTGATACTCTTCAAACGCAACGAATTCCTTCCCGCTTAGCTTTTTGCCTTCAAAGCCTTGCTTATTTTGATGAATCCTATCTGTATATTAATATTTGTTTGTTTTTAACCCGATATTTCGATGAAAAACTAAAAAATAAAGCGTCTTTTGAAGATAAACAGCAAACCACGAGTGTTGAACTTCATTATGCTTTAATCTCATTAGCATTATGTAACAGCGTCAGAAAATACATTTGTAGAAAATTCCCAGTTGCTCTATATTTTCAAACGATTTTCGGGCTGTTTTGTTTTTATCACATACAATAGACAACTTTCCTGGCAAAATGACATTCTTTATTAATGGCTCAGTCAACTAAATTCCAAGCATGCCCATTTCCCAATCCCCCCCCCCTTTCCGGGCATTTGTCGGGTATTTGGCCTTTTGGAAAAGCTGCAAATGCCTCACGGTGGGGCTTAAAAATGGGGTACAAATGCCCCACCCCGGGACAACACCAAATGTGCATTTCCAGTAGGTAAGCTGCAAATACCATACGTATGGAAAATCTGTAATAATTTGACCAAAACGCATGAGGCACCTTACGCAAATCGACCATAGCCACCTGCTATAATTGTTGCACAAATCACTTCCATCTGATTAATATCAATGACAGAACTATAAACTAAAATTTTAATAATACCGTTCTTATTTTTGAAGACTTTTAATATAGTGAACAAGAAAGAACGTTAATTAACAAATTAGTTCATGTGTCAGCGTGCGTATGTCGAGATATTGAGCACGCGGGAAGTTTGGAGAGCACGAAAGAGATGTAAGAGTTGCACGAGGCGCAGCCAAGTGCAACTCTAGCCTCTTGAGTGCTCTCCAAACTTCCCAAGTGCTCAATATCTCGACATACGCACAGCTGCAGCATGAACTTATTGTTTTATAACATTATCAAAGCGATCAATGCAGCAGTTAACTTAAAATTTTATTATTGTAGGGGGCGCTCAAAGCAGTACGCGTCAATGTTTACGTGACTATATATTTTTTTTCCTCACAGTTAATCTTGTGTTTTTATCCTGAAACTGAGAGAAAGTGTACTCTAAAATGATTGAAAAATCCATATTTAGGTGCCGGAAAACTATTGATTTACCGAAAAATTGTTATTGAGAGAAAACAACTTTGCAAAGAATGATCTCACGCCATAGCCCGCACAGCTCGCGGAGATGACAACAACAACAACAACACTCGCCTCTTTTCCTTACTATCGGTTAACAAATTCAAACGTTTCCTCTTAAATTTCCTTATAAAACACATGGTAAACACTTCATTGTCTATTGCTGAGTTATGGATATACTCAGGAGACTCAGGATTGCTAAGCTCACAACAACTCGAGGAATTACGAATAGTTTATTGACGTCATCAGCGTGCTTGATAGGAATATGAAGCACGCTTGCGCTATTGAATTTGATTAGGTGAATTTTCCAGCTATGTTATAATTATTATTTGCATGTCGCCCAAATAAAGAAATCGAGGTTGCTTGTTTTGATTCAAAGTTGCAATAGGCACGCAATACATGTAAACAAGCCAAGCGATGCGAATGTCTTGTACAATATAAAAAGCATACTGGAAAGTAAGCTCTGCTTATGTGGTACATACTTGATCCCACTTTTATGATCTCAAAAACCTTGCAACAAAGAAAAGCAATTCCCAACAATGTGTGGACAAAGGAATTAAAAGCGAAGAACATGTTAAAGCAACGCAGGGATAATTTTCAATGTGAGGAAAAGATGAACTTAATCTGAAGCTTACCTTTTTTATTTTTGCCGGTTTTTTCAGAAATTTAGAAGTATTAAATCCAGGGATTAAATCTGTCAAAAATATTTGGAATTTAAAACAGGTTTGGATCACGCCTAAGAGTTTAAGCCATTTTCGTCCTTTCTCTCAGGTGTTTCTAAAAATGTGTTCATGAGGAATGACTTTCAAATATCATATTACAGGAAATAGCTCTGTTTTTTTATAATTTTATGATGTTATCATTTAACCAGGTCAATTTTTTAGATATTTGTATCCATTGGCAATTCCTTTATGTGTTTTTTTGAGTTTTAGACATAATGAATTTTTTTGAATCGTTGGTAGTATTAAACGTTGAATTAAATCACACTGTGGAATTGATGGGTTTGGCTTATAGCGAAGAGTTTGACAATATTTTTGCCCTCAGTTGTTAAGAGGCAAAGAAGATGTCATGCAGTGATGGAAAATTCTGTGATCGTGCATGAGATGAATATGAAATTGTTTCAATGGGGGAAATGAGGATGGGATGAGTGGCCACATATAAAGTTTTTTGGCAGTTTGATAATTTTCTTTTGGAGCTAGTAGACATTAGCCTGTTTCTTGTAACATTGAATGATGCATAATTTCATTGCATATGTTCAGAAAGGAGGTGATTTCGTAAAATCTTACTGAGAAAACAATAACCTTTTATGGTTCTTCATGAATCTTCAGCATTTGCAAACTGCTTGCATGACAGTTAAAACCCTTGTAGGTTAATTAGATCAAGTCAATTTCTCTCATACACAAACCACAAAAGCGGCAAATCCCAAAGCTTTCACGTGCAAACTGCATTACAATGCATCTCACGGTAGGGGCCTGAACACATGAGCCGGATTGGATAGCTCTGCTGAGGTGACTTTTATCCCGGTATTGCATGAAAAGGGCCAGCCGGGAGTGACCAGCTTTATATAGAGATTGGAAGCAGTGTGCATGTTCCTCGCTTGGTTCATTCACCAGGCTGCCTGGCAAGCGTGATTACTTGGAAAAATTCCAGCCGGGAAAAACAAATAATAGCAAGATTTGTTTGTGATATGTGGCGTGAAATACCACTCATGATATTTCAAAATTGTCTCAAATTTCACTCGCCTAATGGCTCATGAAATTACCTGTAACAATTTTGTCATGTTATTACCTATACTAATTTTGCACAAAATATCTACATATATGACTTATTATAAACAAGAAATAAGTTAGAACCACATTTACCATGTACAGGTGGGCGGGTTTTAATTTTTTTCCTGCCCTGGATAAGCAACTTTAAACTGTACTGTATCATTATTAGGAACAAATCAGTCATCTACAGTAGTTCTCTAGATAAACAGAACAAATGCGATGCAGAAACCTGAGTTGCCTTAAAAACAATATTTTTATGTAGTACTCTTAGTCATTGTAACCTAACACAGATAACCACAGTGTAAGTTGAAGTTATAGTCTGATCGTAAAAAAACACATTTAATTTTCCAGAAGAATATCTCTGCAAGGCAAATTGAACATGAAGCACTCATTGTAATCCTCAGAGGCCACCTGGGGGCATGAAAACTTGAACCGAAAGCTTGCCTTAATCAGCTGAAGAGGTAGGTAACATTGCAAGACCAACCACCACCCCAGGAGGCTGCTACTAGATAATGCTATCGTGAAAACAAATTTGCTGTTGATGCCTTGATACATGTACCAAGCAGAATGCATGATGCAAATGTTAAACCATTCACTGTATGATAAACACTCAGTAAAAACATTTAGACCAATTTATGTATATGTTGTGGTTTAAATTTTATTTTCTTTTGTATAGGTAATGTAACAGGTAATTTTTTTTTTTTGGCAGGGGGGGGGAATTTTAATGTATTGCTAATGAAGTGAAAACAAAAGAAAAATAAATACAAATCACCTTAGATAAAAAATTAACTACAACATAATTATATATCCATAGGAACCTTGCAAGAAGCCATCAACCAAGGCACCACACTGGCCGCGGAGATGCCAATCCCTGGAAATCTAAAATCTGGAGACACTCTCTTTTGCATCAGTGAATCAATGGACACAATGAATCAGGGAACAGAGAAACGTAGGGATACCAATCTAAAATTATTAACGTGGACAATGGGAATTCTGGTTTGTTTGGTAACTGATTTTTTGTGGAAATTCGAAGGGGTGTATAGGCGTTGAAACGTATTTTGCGCAAACCGCTGACACTCAAACCGAATTTACACAATAAATCAGGGAAAAGAGAAACGTAGGGATACCACGCTAATTCGGGTACTTTTCAAATTGGAACCTTACGCTAACTTCTTAGTTTCTTCCTATCTATAAGAGAGAAGGTCCACATTACTCCGATCTAAAATTATCAGAGCGGACAATGGGAATCCTGGTTTCTTTGGGAATTGTTTTTTTGTGGAAATTCGACGGGGTGTATAGGCGTTGAGACGTATTTTGCGTAAACCGCTGACACTTCAACCGAATTTACACAATAAATCAGGGAACAGAGAAACGTAGGAATACCAATCCAAAATTATTAACGTGGACAACGGGAATCCTGGTTTCTTTGGGAATTGATTTTTTGTGGAAATTCGACGGGGTGTATAGGCGTTGAGACGTATTTTGCGTAAACCGCTGACACTTCAACCGAATTTACACAATAAATTAGGGAACAGAGAAACGTAGGGATACCACGCTAATTCGGGTACTTTTCAAATTGGAACCATATGCTAACTTCTTAGTTTCTTCCTATCTCGACAGGTGATGGTAGCACGCTTTGGGATCGCCAAGCAAACTCTGTTGACCATGATTCTATTTTTTCCGTTTACTTTTTTCAAGAGAAGAAGGTCCACATTACTCCGATCTAAAATTATCAGAGCGGACAATGGGAATCCTGGTTTCTTTGGGAATTGTTTTTTTGTGGAAATTTGACGGGGTGTATAGGCGTTGAGACGTATTTTGCGTAAACCGCTGACACTTCAACCGAATTTACACAATAAATCAGGGAACAGAGAAACGTAGGGATACCACGCTAATTCGGGTACTTTTCAAATTGGAACCATATGCTAACTTCTTAGTTTCTTCCTATCTCGACAGGTGATGGTAGCACGCTTCGGGATCGCCAAGCAAACTCTGTTGACCATGATTCTATTTTTTCCGTTTACTTTTTTCAAGAGAAGAAGGTCCACATTACTCTGATCTAAAATTATCAGAGCGGACAATGGGAATCCTGGTTTCTTTGGGAATTGATTTTTTTGTGGAAATTCGACGGGGTGTATAGGCGTTGAGACGTATTTTGCGTAAACCGCTGACACTTCAACCGAATTTACACAATAAATTAGGAAACAGAGAAACGTAGGGATACCAATCCAAAATTTATTAACGTGGACAACGGGAATCCTGGTTTGTTTGGGAACTGATTTTTGGGAACTGATTTTTTTCCAAAATTATTAACGTGGACAACGGGAATCCTGGTTTGTTTGGGAACTGATTTTTTGTGGAAATTAGACGGGGTGTATAGGCGTTGAAACGTATTTTGCGTAAACCGCTGACACTCAATACGAATTTACACAATAAATCAGGGAACAGAGAAACGTAGGGATACCACTCCAATTTCGGTACTTTTCAAATTGGAAACTCATACTGGAGATATAATAACCATAAGATACCCCTTTCACTGAGATTCGTTCCAACGCAAAAACTTATTCTAACTTTCCAGTCTCTTTTTATTTCTACAGGTAATGGTTTAGCACATTTTATTCCCAGGATTTCTGACCTTTTTCCTTCATTGCCTCTAGTCTTGTTGTTTTAGAGCGGCTTTTATTCAGTCTTTCCAGGTCAAAGCGAGGATGTGCATAATTGGAGCTAAAACTATTAGGTAGAGATTTGGAATCCTGAATCCTGACTGACCACAGACGGCTGCTTTTGGTGGAACTGTTGTATCTTGGAGTTTTATAGATTGGCTGGTATGAGTATATTACGTAATGAATTTATTCTTTAGATAGGTCTTTTACAATATATGCTATCGCGATTTCTCTTAGCAACGGCTGGCTTTTTATGAGAGGCAATATCTCATCAAGTTGTTTTTTGGACTTCAACAACATTCTATGCCCAAAGACACTCTTTTTAACGGAGAAACAACTCCACCCAATACATTTCTTTGCAGCGACTTGCAATTTTTGCCCCGTGGCGATCCCATAATCCTGTGCGCAAAACATGCGTCTCCTATTACTGACGAATTATTCATTTACATCTGATTTATTAATGGAGAATTTTAAATTTCTTTCTCATAATTAACAGCTTATCAGAGGAAGAGAACCTAGAGCCCCAATAAAGTGTCGTGCCTTACAGAGAAGCGGAAACCTGAATTGTTGTTCTGTGAAAAAGGAAATAATGGATTGTAAGAACAGAGCACTCAATGTGGAACAGATTGAAATGCTGCTGGCATTTATCTCCTCTTTAAAACCATATCAGCAGATGTACGATCAAGATTAAGTCACTTTTACAGACACCATTTCGTGAAATAGAGGATCATAAAAGGTGAAGCGCTTATCTCGGCTTGTTCCACTAGCCTTCAAAACCAACCTTTGTTTCAGGTGGTCGTCTCTCGTTTGCCATGTAGAGGTCCAGTAGGAAGGACTCAGCTCTGCCAAATTTCCCAGAGTCTTGCTTCATTTTTTAGCTAACCCAGGATTAGCTTTAGAATTGCAATGTTGTACACCTCCAGTCAGGGTTATGCCCTTTAATACTTGACTTTTAAATAGTTTGTCGCAGATTACTAGTTGCTGTATGTACTTCGCAGAGATGGTTTTGTCCAAGCCCTCCTTTGCTTACACACTAAGTGTGTTGCTGAGTACTACAGTCAAAATTTAAAATAACCATTGTTTGACAGTTAGAACTTTTTACATTACTTTAGAAAATTGAAATAAAAGTGTTTTCCTTCTTGGGTGTTCATGTTTTGGTTCAATTTTATCCTTGGTTTAAATTCTTTGTTCCTTTGTTGTTGGGTATCAGTGGTCATGTATGATAATGAGTAAAACCAAGGATAAATTTGAACCCAAACATACATTTGTTGTGTGTGTCGCGCAAAACGTGGTCCGCAGTGAAAAAGGCCCAAATTACATCGAGGAATAGTGTTTAATGATGTTATAAATATATATAAAAATTTAAGACTACAAAAACAACAATTTTTCAAAGTATAAAAAGTTATATTTTTCCAAAGGGGTTAACCCATGATTTTGATTCAAAATTTTCTTTATTTGCTTTTGGTGAAAATACGACCACGAGTAGTGCTTGATGATGCTGTAGATAAAAATTGCTTCTTAGACTGTAAACAAAACAATTTTTTATGTCTGAAAAATCCCATTTTATGGCGTAAACCCATAGTTCTGGAAAGGGAATTTGAATTTTTCTTTATTTGTTCCTCCTGAAAATACCACAAGAAATAGTGTTTGGTTATGATCTTGGTTGCAAAGAAAGCCAATTTTAGCCCAAAACCATCGAATAACCCCTTTGAAAAAATCTCAATTTTTCGACCTTCTGAAATTCTTCTTTTAATAGCCTAGAAAGGCGTTTCTGCGTTCTAGACTATCGTAAAAGACATATTCCTGGCCTATATTGCTTAACAAAAAAAAATTTGGAAAAATGGCCATTTTTGGACAAAAACCATGGGTTAACCCCTTTGGAAAAATGTCAATTTTTTCGACTTTTTGGACTTCTTGTTTTTATAGCCTAGAAAGGCGTTTTTTCGTTCTAGAATATCATAAAAGACATTTTCCTAGCCTATATTGCCTAAAAAAAAAAAGTTGGAAAAATGGCCATTTTTGGACCAAAACCATGGGTTAACCCCTTTGGAAAAATGTCAATTTTTGGACTTTTTGGACTTCTTGTTTTTATAGCCTAGAAAGGCGTTTTTTCGTTCTAGAATATCATAAAAGACATTTTCCTAGCCTATATTGCCTAAAAAAAAAAAAGTTGGAAAAATGGCCATTTTGGACCAAAACCATGGGTTAACCCTTTGGAAAAATGTTAATTTTTGGATTTTTTGGACTTCTTGTTTTTATAGCCTAGAAAGGCGTTTTTTCGTTCTAGAATATCATAAAAGACATTTTCCTAGCCTATATTGCCTAAAAAAAAAAGTTGGAAAAATGGCCATTTTTGGACCAAAACCATGGGTTAACCCCTTTGGAAAAATGTCAATTTTTGGACTTTTTGGACTTCTTGTTTTTATAGCCTAGAAAGGCGTTTTTCGTTCTAGAATATCATAAAAGACATTTTCCTAGCCTATATTGCCTAAAAAAAAAAAAAAAGTTGAAAAATGGCCATTTTTGGACCAAAACCATGGGTTAACCCTTTGGAAAAATGTCAATTTTTGGACTTTTGGACTTCTTGTTTTTATAGCCTAGAAAGGCGTTTTTTCGTTCTAGAATATCATAAAAGACATTTTCCTAGCCTATATTGCCTAAAAAAAAAAAAAGTTGGAAAAATGGCCATTTTTGGACCAAAACCATGGGTTAACCCCTTTGGAAAAATGTCAATTTTGAGACTTTTTGGACTTCTTGTTTTTATAGCCTAGAAAGGCGTTTTTTCGTTCTAGAAAATCATAAAAGACATTTTCCTAGCCTATATTGCTAAAAAAAAAAAAAAGTTGGAAAAATGGCCATTTTTGGACCAAAACCATGGGTTAACCCCTTTGGAAAAATGTCAATTTTGGACTTTTGGACTTCTTGTTTTTATAGCCTAGAAAGGCGTTTTTTTCGTTCTAGAATATCATAAAAGACATTTTCCTAGCCTATATTGCCTAAAAAAAAAACTTGGAAAAATGACCATTTTTGAACCAAAACCATGGGTTAACCCCTTTGGAAAAATGTCAATTTTTGGACTTTTGGACTTCTTGTTTTTATAGCCTAGAAAGGCGTTTTTTCGTTCTAGAATATCATAAAAGACATTTTCCTAGCCTATATTGCCTAAAAAAAAAAAAGTTGGAAAAATGGCCATTTTTGGACCAAAACCATGGGTTAACCCCTTTGGAAAAATGTCAATTTTTGGACTTTTTGGACTTCTTGTTTTTATAGCCTAGAAAGGCGTTTTTTCGTTCTAGAATATCATAAAAGACATTTTCCTAGCCTATATTGCCTAAAAAAAAGTTGGAAAAATGGCTATTTTTGGACCAAAACCATGGGTTAACCCTTTTGGAAAAATGTCAATTTTTGGACTTTTTGGACTTCTTGTTTTTATAGCCTAGAAAGGCGTTTTTTCGTTCTAGAATATCATAAAAGACATTTTCCTAGCCTATATTGCCTAAAAAAAAAATGTTGGAAAAATGGCCATTTTTGGACCAAAACCATGGGTTAACCCCTTTGGAAAAATGTCAATTTTTGGACTTTTTGGACTTCTTGTTTTTATAGCCTAGAAAGGGGTTTTTTCGTTCTAGAATATCATAAAAGACATTTTCCTAGCCTATATTGCCTAAAAAAAAAAAGTTGGAAAAATGGCCATTTTTGGACCAAAACCATGGGTTAACCCCTTTGGAAAAATGTCAATTTTTGGACTTTTTGGACTTGTTGTTTTTATAGCCTAAAAAGGCGTTTTTTCGTTCTAGAATATCATAAAAGGCATTTTCCTAGCCAATATAGCCTAAAAAAAAGTTGGAAAAATGGCCATTTTGGACCAAAACCATGGGTTAACCCCTTTGGAAAAATGTCAATTTTTGGACTTTTTGGACTTCTTGTTTTTATAGCCTAGAAAGGCGTTTTTTTCGTTCTAGAATATCATAAAAGACATTTTCCTAGCCTATATTGCCTAAAAAAAAAAAAAGTTGGAAAAAAAAAAGTTAAAAAAATGACCATTTTTGAACCAAAACCATGGGTTAACCCCTTTGGAAAAATGTCAATTTTTGGACTTTTTGGACTTCTTGTTTTTATAGCCTAGAAAGGCGTTTTTCGTTCTAGAATATCATAAAAGACATTTTCCTAGCCTATATTGCCTAAAAAAAAAAGTTGGAAAAATGGCCATTTTTGGACCAAAACCATGGGTTAACCCCTTTGGAAAAATGTCAATTTTTGGACTTTTTGGACTTCTTGTTTTTATAGCCTAGAAAGGCGTTTTTTCGTTCTAGAATATCATAAAAGACATTTTCCTAGCCTATATTGCCTAAAAAAAAAAAGTTGGAAAAATGGCTATTTTTGGACCAAAACCATGGGTTAACCCCTTTGAAAAAATGTCAATTTTTGGACTTTTTGGACTTCTCTTTTTTATAGCCTAGAAAGGCGTGTTTTCGTTCTAGAATATCATAAAAGACATTTTCCTAGCCTATATTGCCTAAAAAAAAATGTTGGAAAAATGGTCATTTTTGGACCAAAACCATGGGTTAACCCCTTTGGAAAAATGTCAATTTTTGGACTTTTTGGACTTCTTGTTTTTATAGCCTAGAAAGGCGTTTTTTCGTTCTAGAATATCATAAAAGACATTTTCCTAGCCTATATTGCCTAAAAAAAAAAGTTGGAAAAATGGCCATTTTTGGACCAAAACCATGGGTTAACCCCTTTGGAAAAATGTCAATTTTTGGACTTTTTGGACTTCTTGTTTTTATAGCCTAAAAAGGCGTTTTTTCGTTCTAGAATATCATAAAAGGCATTTTCCTAGCCAATATAGCCTAAAAAAAAAAAAGTTGGAAAAATGGCCATTTTTGGACCAAAACCATGGGTTAACCCCTTTGGAAAAATGTCACTTTTTGGACTTTTTGGACTTCTTGTTTTTATAGCCTAGAAAGGCGTTTTTTCGTTCTAGAAAATCATAAAAGACATTTTCCTAGCCTATATTGCCTAAAAAAAAAAAAATTGGAAAAATGGCCATTTTTGGACCAAAACCATGGGTTAACCCCTTTGGAAAAATGTCCATTTTTGGAGTTATTGGACTTCTTGTTTTTATAGCCTAGAAAGGCGTTTTTTTCGTTCTAGAATATCATAAAAGACATTTTCCTAGCCTATATTGCTGAAAAAGAAAAAGTTGGAAAAATGGCCATTTTTAGACCAAAACCATGGGTTAACCCCTTTGGAAAAATGTGAATTTTTGGACTTTTTGGACTTGTTGTATTTATAGCCTAGAAAGGCGTTTTTTCGTTCTAAAATATCATAAAAGACATCTTCCTAGCCTATATTGCCTTAAAAAAAAAAAATTGGAAAAATGGCCATTTTTGGACCAAAACCATGGGTTAACCCCTTTGGAAAAATGTCAATTTTTGGACTTTTTGGACTTCTTGTTTTTATAGCCTAGAAAGGTGTTTTTTCGTTCTAGAATATCATAAAAGACATTTTCCTAGCCTATATTGCCTAAAAAAAAAAAGTTGGAAAAATGGCCATTTTTGGACCAAAACCATGGGTTAACCCCTTTGGAAAAATGTCAATTTTTGGACTTTTTGGACTTCTTGTTTTTATAGCCTAGAAAGGCGTTTTTTCGTTCTAGAATATCTTAAAAGACATTTTCCTAGCCTATAT